AAACCTATTTATCTAATCAAACAGGTTTCTATTCTTTTGATGAATTGAATGGAACTCGTGTTTAAACTTATTTACACTATCAAATAGATAAAAAAACATTTTAGTTAGACAAATAAATTAAAATAAACGGTGTAAATTTCGTTACTCAATAAGATCATTGTTGTGTTTTAATGGATTTCTATCACCTCGTACTCCCATTCTTATCCAACTTCTCTCTTGCTCTTTCATGTTCCATCGCAAAGCTCTGCAACTTTTTTTTTTTTCCCTTCTCTCGATCAGTAATTATGGATTCTTCTTGTAACTCTATATCTTTTCACAATTTAAGGAGTGCTTAGGAATTTGAATGCAAAATCAGCTTCTCGTTGTTCAAATAATTTGTTGATACTTTTTCAATTGTCATACACAAATGAAGACAAATACGAAGCGAATCACAAAACAAAAACAAAAAACAAAAAAAGTGTCCTAGAAATGACAGATCGAAGAAGGAAAACAAAAACATCAACAGTAAAACTTCAGAGAGAGTAAATTGATTCGTTTAGATTGACAATAATATTTGGTCGATGGTTGTATCAACATGGACAATGTATTTTGAGGGTGAAGAAAACTATTTGTAATTTTGAGGACGGAGGAAACTGTTTTCTTTACTTTCTTTGCCGCCAATCAAAGCACTGAAGGAAGAACTGTTTAAGCCAACACATGTCAAAGAAATATGTATATCAATCAAGGCACTGAAGCAATAGCTCTTTAAGCAAACACATGGCAAAGAAATATGTATATTCATAATTGAGCGTGGTTGAATTTATGGATACTTGGTGTATAGATTCTAGAGCTAGTAAATCATTGCAAGGTTTTAGGAATCCAGAAGCGTCGGTAATTGAAAATATACTTTCCACTAAAATTACATCAAATATGTACATATTTATATGAATAATATTATAAAATACAATTAATATTTTTATAGTGATATAGATTAAAAAAAAAACAAAAAAATTATTGTTAGCTTTAAGGAAAAAAAAATAGAAACTCTTTCCTCAATATTTAGGCAAGGACGGAGCCGGTTAAGGCTAAGAGGGGCATGTGCCCCCTTAACTTTTTAGATATTGTATTTTTGTATATATTATTTTTTCATATTTTAAAATTGCTCCTCCTCAACTTTAAAAAAAATTATTTTTGTATGCATAATTCTTTAAAGTTTTAAAATTGCCCCAACCCCAACTTCAAAAATTTTCACTTTTTATGTATAATTCTTTAAACTTTTAAAATTACCCCCTCAACTTAAAAAAAAAAAAAAAAAAAAAAAAAAAGTCACTTATATATGTATAATTCTTCAAAAAAATTAAAATTGCCCTACCTCAAAAAAATTTATTGCATTGTGCCCATAACATAATTTCTAGTAGTGTATTTAGGTCAACAATTAATTACCACATCAGATAGAGTCGAGTAGAAAAGGTCGTCAGTTATATTATTTTTAAAATTTATATAGTATGTGTAATGAATCTCTTACTAAAATCAATCACACTGACTAGCAGACGGATAGTTTTACTTAGAGATCGCCATGGATTGGATCAGATTAGGTATCAATCCTAATTTGATCCGCTTCCAACGAATTAGACAAATCATAATCCGTCACCGATCCATTATCTTATAGATCAGATTAGATCCGTGTGATAACGGATCGGATTGAATCCGCGAATTGAGTATTTTTTAAATTATTCATTATTATTTTTATAATTAATATTATTTATTTATCTTTTAACTATACCCGTTTATCTTTTAACCATATCCCCAATAGATAAAATTTTAAATTATTAATATTAATTCATATATTTAAATAATTATTAACTAATACTACATCCTTAGAATTCATTAAATTATCATTAACTAATATCGGAGTGAGTATTTTTTAAATTGTTCATTATTATTTTTATAATTAATATAATTTATTTATCTTTTAACGATACCCCTTTATCTTTTAACCATACCTTGGTAGATAAAATTTTAATTTATTAATATTAATTCATATATTTAAATAATTACTAACTAATATTACATCCTTAGAATTCATTAAATTATTATTAACTAATATATATTATTTGAAAATATATAAATAAATTTCACGAGGATTAAATTTTAATAGTCTAATCAGTAATTTGATTTGTGAGTTACGAATTTAATTTTTTTAAATTTGTAATCAATTTGTAAGTATAGCAATCTGATCCGATCCAATCCGCAAGAATCAGACCGGATCAAATTGAACTCGCGGATTTACTACCAAGTCTTACTCCTCGTGGCAGTCAGCTGCGAAAACACAGCTAGCCTCTAAAGAGCGGAGCAGGGATGGTGTGATCTATCCGTAGATAGAGTAACATCTTCCACCAATAATTTCAGAATGAGGTCAATCCAATCGAGACAACCCAAACGATGACAATGTTATATATATATATATATATATATATATATATATGGCACACCCTCCTTCCACCTGTTTCCAGTTACGATATTAATTTATCAAATGCAACCCCTTTTCCTAATATTATTCGAAATTTATTTAATAAATGATGCAAATTATTATTTATTATTTTACGAAAGGCAAATGCTTGCCATATTTTTAAAGTAGTTTTTGTTTTTATTTTTAAATTAGTTCATCTACTTATCTATGTTGTGTGCACCACCTAATTTAAAAGTAAGGAAGATAGAAAAGAAGTACTTAATAAATAAAGATATCTTAGGTTATTTGGTCCAAATTTTTTAAGTATTGTAAAACTGAAAATCAACTATTGAAAATTCTAATATTAAATTTTTTCTAAAATTTTCAATGCTAATCATTAATTGATTTTTTTTTATTATTATTCTTTTGTAAGTCTTGATTGTATTGAAAATTATAATATTAAAATTTTACTGAAATTTTCAATGCTAATCATTAATTGAATTTTTTTTTTTTTTTTTCTATTCTTTTGTAAGTCTGAACACGTCTTTCGAAATTTTAATGTGTTTAAGTGACACTTATTCTTGTAAATTGGATCTTTATTTCGTTATTACACACTCAATTTATTCAAAATTTATGAAACAATAACTTACTTTCTTTTATTTCATCATACTAAAACTGTTTGAAAATTAATTTGCTTTAACAGTATTTTTAAAAACTATTTTTCTAAATACTAAAAAGCCAAATTTCTCACAGGAAACTTGTACTTTCATTCATTGGGACCAATAGTAAAGTACATCAACAATTTTAATCTAACGAATAAGAATATAAAGCTCACATGAAAAGTTGAAAATACCCTCTAGCATTTTTAGTCTTCTTAAAATTGGTTTCAGCTTATTATTATTATTTTTCCATAAACAAGAAGATTAGGCACAAGATTTAGCGGAAAGAAAAAAAAAAAAAAGAAAGAAAGAAAATTAGGCTCAAGCGAAGTTAGCCAACAACCCCATTCACACGGGATGGCAATTTTCCCGGTGGGTTTTCGCCCCCCTCCGTTTCTAATGAGATGAATTGGTAGTTCTTTAAATGGATTTGAGACGAACATAGAACAATAATTGAAAATTCGAATCCGGTAATGAACTCGTCCCGATTATATATATACTTAAAAAAAATTTATATATATAAAATATATATTTTTAATATTTTTAAGACCATTGTTGCTTTGCAGAAAATGTATTTAATATATTAATATTTAATTTTTTTGTAATTTAAAAATTGGGTCAACTTATTTATTAATCCAATGTAATCACATTAAATTAGTTTTTTCAATAAATAATAAAAGTGACATAACCCGCCCCTGCGCCGTAATTAAATAAAGTAAATGGAAGGAAATAGAAACGAAGAGGATATACCAATTACAAATCTGACTCAAATTAAAGACGAAATTAATATGAAATTTTTTCTAACAAGACAAATAATATTTAATCAAACCCACCACAACTCGGCAACAACGGTCCCACCACAACTCGGCCCGTTGCCATGGCCGGCGCAGCAATGAAATTGAAAGAAACCAAAGGACAAAAACAAAGGCAAAGTTGATTACATAGAAATAATGCCTGTTGGATTAATAATCTGAAAAAAAATTATCACGGACAAAAAAATTTACAGTTTCCAATAGCTTTTGAGAACACAGTTTTTGGAAGAATTACATAAAACTGTCGTCCCAGTATTAAGATTCCTTTTTTTTTTTCTTTTTCTTTTAAGAAAATAATTTTCACAGTCAAAAGTTAATTAAATAAAGTTTTAAACAGTTACCAAACAAAAACCTCAGTCATTGCCCATCTTGCTTCTATTTTTTCATAACAAAGAGACAAAACATTTCTTCTTTTTTCCTCCTCTCCATCATCATCCTTTTCTTTCATTTCCTCTCAAATAATTGATGCTCTTTATTAAAAAATTCCATCTATTCTAATCACTCGTACTCTACTATGAAAACAGTAGCTTCAACCACATTAAATAATGGAACCAAAAAAAGAAAAAAAAAGACAAATATTTTCCCCCTCCACTTCCACTATATAACAACAAATACTCATCAATGTCATTTTGGGGCTCAAAAAATACTTCTCGAACCTAAATTAAAATTTTGGAAATGCTAAAATATCATTTTCCAAATTCATTGTACTACGACATTCACTCCGTCCCAAAAATATGTGTCAAACTTTTGTTTATTTTCAAAAAATATTTATCAATTTCTTTTTTTAATCTGTCCCAAAATAATTATTAATTTTCTTTAACTTTTTTTTTCAATCAACATATTTCACGTCTTCCCGTATATATATTCTTGGAGTTTAAAGTGACATATTAGTAACACTAAAAGGAAACAATGTATGTCCTATATAGGACCCGGAAGGAGTTCTAAATATGGACATAACAAGACATACAAAAGAGGCATCAAAAGTAGGAAACCAATATACCCCAAAAGACAAGCATATGATATAGCATTAATGATTAAGATAAGAACAAAAAGAAGTTAATGAGTCCAAGAGAAGGCCAGCAGACACAAAATAAAAGAAGATCAAACACCATTATCATCAGAGACCTTGCTTTTGGTGAGAACACCATTGTCATTGTCATTGTCATTGTCCATGGTGTTGATTTGGGTGTGCTTTTTGGATGAGCCCTTGCAGACCCCAACTGGGTATTTTATGGCATTAAGCCCCAGCTTGCGAAGAGCAGCTTTACCAAGATCAACACCACATATGTCAGAGAGCCTGATCAGATACAGCAACACATCTGACAGCTCCTCACCCAAGTGTTGCTTCTCCTCTTCTTCCCAACCTGGCAGCCCTCTTGGGACCTCTCCTTTCCACTGGAAGATCTCGGACAACTCTCCCACTTCCCCAACCTAAAAACACACATACACACACACACACAGATTTATATGTATCAAAATAGCAAAAAAAAAAGCAAGTGGCTTAACCAAAAAAAAAGCCTTATTTGATCACTTTTTGTGTACAGAAACATACAACATACATATTAAGATTTATATACATCAATATAGCACAGGAAGAATGGAAGCAGTGGCTTCATTGTGAAGGACAAACAGTATTAGTTTGTTGGGTCTTAAATTTTGAACTCTTTATTATGATCACAGTGATCCTACTATTGTGTCCTCCACTATGTACTGAAGAGAGATCTAAAAATTCACAAATGTAAAATAACCCATTATTACCCACAGTTTGCAAGCCAACAAAAAAGAGAAGATCAAGAATATAAAAATTGAATCTTTTATGCCTCTGAAGTTGTTTTTGGTTTTCTCAACCTAGAAAAACCAAGTCAGAAGGCCCTAAATGTGCAAAAAAAATGGTGTAAATGGCTGGTCTTTCCACTAAACCAAACAGGACATTTATTGCCACTTTCCCTCAAAAATTTAATGAAAGAATCAGATTTTCTGGACAAATCATTTATGGGTAATCAAGAAAATCATTATAAATGTGGAGAGAGATGAAACCAATCAAAAACCATCAGGGTTTTGGCTGTTATGTTCTGTCCATTTCCTTTTCTTTCCTTTCCTCTCCTCTCCTCTCCTCTAGCACTCTATGGGAAGAAATCGGATTTCTAGAAACCAATTAACCAGTCAACATAGTCTAACGGGCAATATCTGTATATCAAATCAGACGAGAGAAAGCGAGCCATAAATTAGACCCTGTCTTTACCCTTTCAAAGTCTACATTTGCACAATGAAAAATCAGACCTCCAGGTATTTGATCTGTGGCCAAGACCAGTGAATGGTATAGGAGAAAGTAAGAAACCAAACGAGTGTGCGTGTATGAGTTTGTGAGAGAGAGGGAAGCCATAGACGTGTGTATATATTTATATTTATATATACATATATATATATCATCATCAATGGGTATATGTAGTATCTAGTAGTATTAGGGTTTAAAAGGAAAGAATACCAGAGCCAAGAGAAGATTTCTAGGGCTATGGAACTGATCCCAGTCTCTCTCCCTAGCAAAATCCGCCATTTTCAGCTTCAAATCATCGAGGGTCACGCCTCCTTCTCTCTCTAGAACCCCTGTCATTTTCTTCTGAGCTAATGTGTGTGTGTGTGAGACTGTGTGTGTACCGCTGGATAAGAAGGAATGAACACTGCCGCAGACCTGAAACAATATGCGGGTACGGCGGTGCGTCTCTCTCTCTTTATAAAGGAAATGGGGCTTGGCTACCGGCTGTTGACGGTTCTCGAAGGGCCTTTATTTGTGGGCCAACGACACGTGTCGGTTGCGATGGACTCACGCCTCGTCGCCTCTTCGTTAGTGGGTTTTTGGGATTTAGTTAGAGGGACCACATTTTCTATGATCTGATTCCAACTTTTCATAAAGTACATAGGTGTATGTATCTTTATATATATATATATATATATATATATACATAATATAGTAGGAAATGTGGCACACGATTTGTCCTTTCGTTCTTAATTGTAATATTTTCGTGACAAAACCTTATTAATTGGGGAAAAGTGTAAATCATGATTTAATTAATGCTTGTTAATGACATGTAAGGCTTTGGATTTTTATTTTCCTTTTTTAAAAAAAAAAAAAAATCTAGCCAATTTAATACTCTCAACATATGGTGTTTATTATGAAAATAATAAATGATTATAATAAATAGGATGTGAGATTCTTATAATATCGTTCTTTTTGGGTGTTGATTATTGAACATTTAAGTGTTTTCCTTTTCAAATTATGCCAATTGACAAATAACTCTGTGTTTATTATGAAATTAAAGAAATGACAAATAGGGTGTGAAATTCTTAAAGTATATCGTTTTTCTTGGGGTGTTGATTATTGAAAATTTAAGTGTTTTTCTTTTCAAATAATGTCAATACTACCATAATTGACAAATAACTCTTTTACACTTCCTGTTATCAAATATTTTAAAGAAAAAATTTCTTAATTATTATTCTTAGCTACCATGTGTATGGTACCCGAGATTATCCTAGTCCTTGAATATGATATGACCTATAATTGTCGTGAAGTATCATACCTTAAGAGATTTAATATTTTTCTTAAATGGGTATTTATTATTCAAGATTAGAATTCTGTTTTGAAAAAGAATGATTTGATTTTTAGAGTATTGTTTTCAAGTCAATTTCACATTCAAACTTAAACCGGTTTTTTTTTTTTTTTTTTTTTAAATTCTTTGATCTAAATACCGTGCTATCTAGATAAAAAAAAAATCCCTAGTCCCCCAATGGTCTTGGTTTGCTCGGCCCAACACTTTGGCTAGGCTCATCAGCCCGACCATCATTTTTCTTGATATAAATAATGATTTTAGAATGTTTTTTTTTCTTTCAATAAACACACTAATTAATAAGCATGCTATAAATTATTGGTTTCCTAGATTTATAATGATCTTAATAAGATGCGTAGGAAATACATAATATATGTCAAGCAATTAATGATCAGATAAGCAATTGTTACGTTGTTATGGTTGTTAAGTCTTAAATCTTCTCCTTCCCTCTAATCACTAATATCGAAAAACATAAAAATAAAATCATGATCACACAAATATACATATGCAACTGCATTTATTTTGCAGAAAGTAGCTTCAATCAGATGAGGATGTTTGTAATGGTTCCAAGATGTGTAAAATACATCACACCATTACAGTCCAACCCAACCAAAAGATGCTCTCTTTATTCTAACTTTTCATAAAGTACATCTATAGATATGTAGTTATATACCATAAAAGTAATTTGTTTTATTTATATATTTCTTACTTTGTTGTTAGATTTTGTTAAATTTCAAAATTTTTGTTACTTTTCAATAATAGCTTTAAACTCTATCAACAATTTGCATGATTTTAAAAAATTGGATTTATCAATGGATACTATACAGATTAAAGAATTATCCATAAATTTTTTTTTCTTCTTTTTCTAATTGGTACTCATACACACACATACTTTTACTGAAATTCGAACTCATAACCTTTCTTTGAAAAGTAAGAGTCTGGTACCGCAAGGCCAGAGCTTGTTGGGATTGATTAAAAAATTAGGATACTCAACCAAATTAAATATAGGTGTTACAAGGACTCAAGGAGAGCCTTGTTTCACATTGAATCCAAAATGGAAAATGTTACAGGTATAATAAATTGATTAGTAGTTAGTCTTACCTAACAACCTAAATTTTTGAATCGAATCGCAAAACAACCGAACCATTACAGTTGATATTAAGGATAGACCAAGTCCCAAGCGCCGCCCCAGGAGGTACTCGAATCTCTACAGGATAGACAGGATGGCCTGATCATAACTAGAGTATTGCGAGATTCGGATGATAAATGTAATGGGCATCAATGGGATGGGAGATATGTCTTACATCGAATTCGAATGAAAAATATAATGAGTATAAATGAGTTGTGTGTTAATCCCACTTAACAGTTTAAACTTTTGGTCAAATCGTGACTCGATTCTTCATTAACTATTTTGCTGTCATCGAAAGACTTTAGTACGTGATACTAATATGATTTCAATATGTTACTACAAGTGACAACAACTATTAATGATTAGATTGTATCAAACACATTTATGATAATTCACACGTGTAAATTACAAACTTTTCATCATTACTTAAGTAATATTTTTAAAAGTTTAACTTAATAATATAAATATTTAAATTTTAAAAATAATTTGATAATTTTTTTAAAAAATCAAAAAACATACTGATTCGTCACTCTTAAATATTGTAGTTTATAAAATTATTTTTTAAATTTTTCTTTAATTTCTCTTTTATTCTTCAATTTTCTTTTTGAAAATCCTCACGAGGACAAAAAAAAGCAAATAATGTCACACGAGGTGACAAGTTTGATACATGTAGGGTCAGGCTTACAACTGTTCACTTTTCTTAACCGGATGTGTGACTGATACAAGCAGAATTAGTGTGATGGCAGTCATCATTTTTGTGTAATTGTTTATTGTCACCATCGTGTTAGCTTACCTTTTTAGTATTATTTTTATCTTTAGAGTGTTTAATTTATAATTTTTTCTAACTTTCTCTATTAACTATTCGAATTTGTGCCGAAAGCTTGTTGGGTTACAAATGACATCCTTTTCTATTATAAACTCACACCATCTACAAAAACTTTCTAGTAGTCTGCAATGAAAACCTCTCTAACATTTTAAGAATATTTTTATTTATTTTTAACATTTCATAATTATCTACATATTCCGAACTCGTATTTAGAGAGTTGAACTATACTACTTTGACTAATAGTTTCATTTATTTATTTTACTTCGACAAGAAACATATTACACGTGTAAGATTATTGATTAATTGTATAGTTCTTATAATTTGGATATGTGATATATTTCATTAATTAATGTGGTTAAGTAAATATATATCAGATTAATATTACATTATTTGGTTAAACTTATAAATTACCTTTTAGGTAATTAATTTATTGGAAAAATGTTTTCCTATTTATTCCTTAGTTTGATGAAAAATAGAATTAAGGTTACTAAAAGGAAAATACGTCATCTCTCTGTCATTATAAAGTGCATATCCCTCATCAATTATGTGTGCTAATAAAACAATACATATAAAGTTTTATATGTGTAAAAGGTCAAAAAAGATAAATCAGTTTTCACGTTTTGCCTATTGTTTGGAGTTGCGCTTAATTCGTTATTAAAGGATCTCGACGTTGAATTTGATCTCAACAAGGTTTGTTATTATGGATCGAAGTATATATATCTAATTATATATATTTATGCTTTATAGGAATGTGAAAATAATGAAGTTCTAAGATTTTTGAAATTCAAGTTTATTTGTGATGAATGCTTGACATAAATTATTAAAGTTTATAACATTCGTTTTGTCTTGAAATTTAAATGCTCGACCTTTTATTGTGGAAGGCAAGAAAGTACCACCAAGATACAATCTTAGTTTTCTTGTTTTTTTATTTTATTTTATTTTATATATTAAATTTTATGCACTAGTGGCTAAATTTGCAAATTTCAAAAAAATTGGTTAATTTTCAATAATGGCTTTAATATCTATTACAATTTTTGCATGATTTCAACAAAACCGATTTAGAAATGGACAACTATTTTTCACATTAAAAAGTTATGAGTCAAAAAATAATTGAAGGATACTAATATGATTGCAATATGTCAATAGTTGATGCACCCATGATTGTATGAATTTCATTAGTGTAATGTGAGTGTATTATGCATTTCTGAGTACAAGGTTAAAAAAACAATAATGGTAAAAAAAGAAGAAAAAGTACCCATGTTAATAAATTTGGACCGACTAGAAGTAGGCCAACTGGATTGAGCTGGTCAAGTGAAAATGTTTATATTTAAAATTGGATCTTTTGAAACAATTGGTTTTTTTACCATACCTTTATTATAATTAGAAAAGTTAACGTGTTTGAGTTGACCGATATTATTTAATTGGGTCCAATTGACAAGTGAAAATGTTCGTATTATAAATTGAACATCTTGAAATTACCTAACAGTTTACTATTAATTTGAACTTAATTTTGAAGCAAAATGACAATTTTATCTTTCACTTGGACGAATAAACAATAGGTACTTTTTCTTCAACCGACCAGAATTGGTTCCAAACATCTAAAATCTCATTTCAAATTATGAAATCATTTCATTCCAAAAACAGCCTAGTTGTTATGCATTCATTTATTGAAGAAAATGGTCAAAATTTGCTTTTTCTCATACAATAGAATTGACAAGGAAAAGAGGCCAAATAATAATATCTGAGGAGGTGACAAGTTTGATACTTGTAGGCCCATGTTTTGATCACTGTTCACTTTCTCAACACCCAATTTTCACTGAAACCATCATGAAGCAGGGAATTAGTGTGATTCCAGTAATCATTTTTGTGTAATTGTTTATTCCCACCATCATTGTCTACACTATTTGTGTGCTACTTCCATTTATCTATCCTACATTTGCGCTTTTTTTTTTCTTTTTTATTTTTCAAAAATAATTTCAAACCTACATTATCAAGAGAATCTATTCCCAGGTTAGCATCGTACACGGTCATCAAATTCGTGAAAATGCGCACACATCTATACGTATTGTGTTCGTGAAAATGCCCACACGTCTATACATATTGTGCACAGATGGCTTTGATAAGCCCGAAGATATTTATGGAAGGAAGGAAAAATGTTTATATTCAAAAATATAATGAATGGTAGTTGGTTCAACGGTACTTTTTGTTTTGGATGGGTTTGGTTCTTTTGTTTAGTTAGGCTTGGCGGCTGAGCCTTTTTTACCGTTGGACTTTTGGTGGTTTTCACCTTCTTCTTGTACAGTGTTTCTTCTCTTTAAAAACGGTTTGATATACTAGTATCAAATATATATATATATATATATAATGAGAATTTTATATAGAGAAAAGGATGAAGTTGAGTGATAGAAGGTTTAATCCTTAAGATTCAAATTAAGAGTGTAATTTGAACTTAATTTGAATGGACGAACTCAAAATACCTTCTAAAACTAAAAGTAAAAAAATAATAATAATAAAGATAACCCCCCCTTTTTTTTTTTTTTTTTATCTCCTAATTGGTACTCACACACACATGCTTTCACTAACACTCAGAATTCATCCCTGACCTCGAATTCATCCCTTTAGAAAGTAGGGACCTCGAATCCATCCCTTTAGAAAGTAGAGACATGTTGATAAATTAAAGACATGTTGATAAATTAAAGATAACTTAAAATTAACAAGTTTTTTTTTTTTTTTTTTTTCAAACACGTATATCGACCCCACAATATACTTACCATTTAAATCAGGAGTATAATTCCAAAACTAGACCTGAAGGACTTACCCGGATCCCTGAAATTGCCAAGTTTAAAAAGCTCAATTCATAAATAGCACATCCCTCAGCACACAGGACATTTTTGTGCCACATGAGGTGATCCCAAGTCCAAGAAGAAAACAGAGAAAACACATCAAAAATTAAAAGCAGCATGGAGAAGCCGAACACTAGTTTACCAGTACATCAAGATTACAAAAGCCTTGTGCAAGATATATATATATATATATATATATATATATATATATATATATAGTACTGTATATATATCTATATATACACAGTACTCAAAACCAATTACTAGTGGAGTGGAGATATATAGTCAAACAAAGACCCTTGGAACAGAATCAACTGGCTTGCAGTCCACCTCCCTCAGCACTGTCTTCAGTCCTTTGCCACCACCATTCGCCAGTGGATGTATACCATGCGCTGGCCCTGTCATGTGCACCCGGTTCTTTCTCTCCTCCTCCATCGATATATTGTAACGCTTCTCCAGATCTGCATATATACATATACACACACACACACATGTATATCAAACCATTAAAAATCAATCAGAAAAATCCATATTTAAAATTTCAAAGTTGCCCTTCAAAATTTAATTCATTATTATGAAAGTAGTAGAAATCAGTAGATAATATAAGGGGGTTTATTTACCTATATATGTACATATACATTGGAGCATCGAATTAATTACCTACTTCAATTTGAATGAAATTTAGTTAGATCTAATTTCAAATCCAAGCAGACGAACATTTCATTTTTGTCCATCGAATTTGAATGAAATTTAGTTTGATCCAATTTCCAATCCAAGCAGACGAACATTTCATTTTTTCTATGGCTGGAAGCATCGAATTACCAACTTCGATTTGAATATAATTTTGGTGGATTCAATTTCAAATTCAAGCAGATGATTCGGTACTCCCAAAAGTATCGTTTATGTATTTCAAATTGAAAAAATTTGGTACTCCCAAATTCGGTACTCCCAAAAGTATCATTTATGTATTTCAAATTGAAAAAATTCAGTGCTCCCAAACGACACGTTTATTTATTTGACCTCTAAATCTAAATTTTCTCAAATTCCAAATTGAATTATGTTTATTTTTAGTATAATAGAAGGTTAGAGAATTAGAATTACCCTCCGCAAGGTGCTCATAAACCTGGCCATCCCTAGTGAGAGCCATCATCACTTGTGGCAACCCAAGAGGGAGATTGTCACCCTTATCAACCTGCCAGAAGTGGAACACTTTGCCATAAGTCTTGCAAACCTTCTCCATATCCTTGCGCTGGATCGCGCCGGGAATGCCCGGCATGAACAGCCTCCCACTCTTCACCTCGTACTCGTGGGAGTGCCACATGCACTTCTCCGCGTCCGGCAGCGTCAAAAACAAGTCCTCGGACACAATGTACTCCAGACCGATGAGCCGGGCATCGGCTTCGGGGCTGTCGTATATGAGACACTGCCTCATTTCCTCATTCTGGTGCCCACAGAAGTGGTGAGCCTCCACTTGCCGTGTCATGTCATGCGCATAAAAATGAAATCTAACATATAGTGTAATTCGACAACAAAATGAGTCATCAAGATTGTTTAGCGTAACAAAATTATCAATAACAAGAACATGAACAATTAATTACTTAGGCTCGTTCATGACATATCAAAATTTTTAGTTTAAATTCATATCAACAAATTAGTGATATGGTGTATTTTGGTGATATTGTGTATTTTGGTGTTGTAAAAAAGAATTAAAATAAATTTTTAAATTTTTTTTTAAAGAAAATTCTAAACATAAGACCCTAAAACACATTACATGCCAAACAGGCATTTAAATTTTTTTTTAAAAAAATAAAATTAATTAAATCGAGTAATGCTTAATCGTTATTTTGTGCATAATTGTCACGCCAGTTAGTAACAAAAATCGATAGTAACAAAATTATCAATAACAAGAATAGGAACAATTCATTACTTAACCAAATAGGCAACAATTCATTCCTACATCTCTTTTAATATGAGAGAGGTTGGGTGTTCGAGTCCAGTGAATGCATGAAAACGAATAATAATATAAAATCTGATATCGATAACAAAAGCCGATCTAGACTTACGCGCAGAGGTGTTGGTGGATTTTGTTGACGGGTTCGAAGCCTTGGATGGTGGCTGTGGCGGTCTCGAGGAGGGCCGTGCCGGTGTGAGTGGCCTCGCCTGGTATCTCTCTATGGGTTGACATGTTCACGCCTTTCATTTTCTCTCTCTCTTCACACACACACACTGATCACTATGGGCTGGCTTTAGTACGTTTTGTTTAGTTGTGGGGTTTTAAAGCTCGAAAGTGAAATTGCATGCAGTTCCACACGTGGCACATTTGGTCTGCCACGTGGCAGTAAACGTGTTTGCTGTGGAACGACTCTCACGATCTCTGTTCCTATTTCCTCTGCACAACAGAAACTATCATATAATTACGAGGCAATTATTATATAATTTATTTTTAAAATTTATCCAAAATTGACATGTATTCCAGTTTTTCTCTTTTTAGACTATTTATATTTAAATGAGTCTAATTTGTTTTTAGAAAATTGAAATTTTTTTTTTCATTTTATATATTTGACTTTCAAACTAATTACTCTATCAATTTTTTTTTTTAGTAAAATACTCGTAATTAGTCTATCTTTTAAAAGTACAAAGCATTATTCAAACAAATTATTTGACTGAAAAACAGTGATGATACTTTATTGACTTGTGTTAATAGATTTTTTAATTTTTCGTATAATTAAAATCATAGTTATAAATTAATTTTGTGGAATTTAAATTTAATTAAATTAATTATAAGATAAATATATAATATAATAACTCTGCCTTACTTTGTCCACGGACCATTGAACTAAAAAATTGGCAACCACAAATTGGGGGATTAGGTACTGTAATAAGGTTGGACTAGGCTGGCCCAGCCCAAAAAATTAGAATTAGGCCTGGATTGAAAACTTATGAAATTTTTTGGGCTAGTGGGCTTTGGCTCCAGGACTCTTGATTTGTATTTTTATTTAATTTTCTTCTGAGTCCAATATTTTCACTTCAGTATTTCCATGTTGCATTTTAAATTTCATTTAAACTCTGATGTTTAACTAACTTGTTGTAATCGAATTTACGATTACGCCACCGTCTTAAATACTCATCACGAGATAATGAATCTATTTGTATTAGATCACATAAATAAATAATGCAGGATAACTAATTCTTTAGCATTGAACCACATACCAGAAGGAGACAAATCATGTCTATGACAACGAATCCTAAGTAAGTCTAAACTTATTAGCTAACTCAAATGGTTCCATACACATACATCAATCTCAAGACAATCATAAATCATATCTTATATCATAAATATCATAAATTCAGTTGATATACATGATTATAATTATTAATTTCGAGATATCTTATTTACTAGGTCACTCGTGCGTGTTAACATTAATACTGTATTCCTTTTATAATTTTACTTAATAATTAACAAAGCAATAGTAGTTAGAATTTTATGAATTTGGTCAAATTTTAACAATGTTAGGGACCATTTCCATTCAATGATTTGCAAACTCAAAGGTGCCTTTCTCATGATAAAAGTCAAAGAGAGAGAGAGAGTTATTTGTGGAATGTATAAAGTACAGAAATTGAACAAAAAGGGAATGGATCTTAAATTCCAAGCAAAAGATACAAACTTGTATAATTTGAAGTTTTAGGGCAAAAATTTTAGTTGAGAACTCGAGATTTTTATTCATCTTCTTAGAGCTCACTTAAAAACGTTTTTGTTTTAAAAAATTACCTTTGGATGTTTTTAATAATCATTAAGTACTTATAATGGTTACCAATTTTAGCTTGGGCTAAGTTAGAATTTGGAGTTTTTAAACTATGTTTTTAATAGAGATTGTATATTTTAGATAACTATTTTTTCTTATTTTTTTATTTTTTATAAAGACAATCTCAATCCTTCTTTTATAATTAAAGTTGTTATTATCATATATGGTAACATTATATTAAATGATATTATTGTAAAATTAGCCATACAAATGTTTTTAAAAACATCCTTACCAAGAAAATTTAAAAATTATTTAATTATAAAAAGTACTTATCATGATATGTTACCAAATATATATATATTTTTCATCAATCGTAATTTTTTGACAATTTTAATGACAAAAGCGTTTATTTTATTCTAATAGCAAGGGCAAACGAGCTCTTACCCATGTTCAAACTAGTAGCATAAACATTCATATTAGTCGGCACATAAAATTTCATGTGAGTTAGTCTAACATCTCATCTCAAATTACATAGATTGGAGATACTACACCTTTTCTAATGAGAGTACAATAATATAAATAATAATAATAACTTTCAAGAAACACAAACTAATTGAATTTCAAACTAAAGAACAATAATTGAAGAGTGAACACAAAATACTACGCATATTTTTCATAGTTTTAAATATATATATATATATATATAAAAGAAAAAAGAATAAGGATTTTTAAGAAAATTGCCTTATTTTTGGAGTCCATTGATACTCAATAGAATAAAAGTCATATCTTTAGTAAGATTTTGCCCTAACACTTAAGAAATTATTCTTTAAGTGCCTTTGTATAGTCTTTTTGCAAAAAACACACACTATTTATGCACACTTTTTTGTTCACACTCGAACTCAGACACTTCCCCTAAGATAGATAAATTATACCATTAGTCCTAAGTTAAAATATATATATATATATATATATATATATATGAGGCTTCATGCAAGAAATATTAACTTTCCAGCGGAACAAACTAATTGAATTTTCAGCTAGAGAACAAGTCTAGAAAACTAAACAGAAAAATCAATGCATATTTCACATTGATTTATTATTAAAGTTGACAAGTTTGACCAAAAATGAAGAATAAGTGTGCATACTTTTCGTATGTTGCTAGCCGCCATGTTATGACTTTAATTTTGTTCTCAAGTCCTAATTACAATTTGTACTAATATTATTCGAACATTGTTGTTGTAAAATAGAGTAAATTGGAGAATTTAGGTTCCTAAAGTCAGTTGAATTAGATAATTTTTTTTATATTATTTATTAATGTTAAAAAAATAATAAAAGGACAAATCTAAAAGGGCATGTCAAATGAAAGAAATTCTCTGGCACACAAAGGATCAGATGGAACATAAAATAAGTTACTCTTTCTTTCTTCTACGTAACTGCATGTGAAAACATGTACACACTTTGACTTAATTAGATCAAATCTGAAGCTAAACTTGGAAGAAATAATGTGAAAAACCAAAATAAGATTACCCTCAAGCTAAGCTTTCATCTATGTCCCTTATATTGAACATGTGTGTGTATGTGTATGTGTGTGTTTTTTTATTTTTTTATTTTTTTTAAGAATACCAAATTCAAGGGATTTTAAGAGTAGTTGACTAATTAGGAATGAAAAATTCAAAACGTTTCTATATATGTACATATTGAATGGATTACAGTGCATTTATTAAGATTTTTTTCTCTCATTTCCTATTTTTTTGAGTACCAATTCTAATACACTGATTAAAGATTTTTCTGAATTCGATGATCACCCCATTCGAGAGATTGTTTAGAAATGAAAGTCTATAGCGATCAGATGGAGAAACCACTCATCATGTTCAAGTACGGCAAAAGAAACTACTGGTTTGTTTTCTTGGTTCTATTGCTTTGCTGTTTCTATTATGCCTTGTTTGCAGGCAACAATAGCGTAGTCACTTTGTTTTCTAGATATTCAAGTTCTTGGGATCCTATTGAAAATCCAAATGAAACTAGTTGGGATAGTCAAATTAATTCATCAATTCCTATTGTAGAGAACACAACTGAATTAACTAGGGTGAATATGACACAAATTTTGGATTCGCGCTCTGGAACTGAAAATCCAAATGAAACTAGTTGGAATAGTCGAGTTAATTCACCACTCCCTACCGCAGAGAACACAACTGAATTAACTAGGGTGAATATGACACAAAATTTGGATTCGTGCTCTGGCCGGTACATCTATGTTCATGATCTTCCTAGCAGATTCAACCATGACATTCTGAGCAATTGTTCGTCGCTGAACAAGTGGCATGACATGTGCCAGCACTTGCTGAACAAGGGTCTTGGTCCTCGGGCGGCAAATTCTGAAGGGGTTCTCCAAAACAGGAGTTGGTATGTGACCAGCCAATTCACGTTGGAAGTCATTTTCCACAACAGAATGAAGCAGTACGAGTGCTTGACGAACGACTCATCTCTAGCGTCGGCAATTTACGTACCTTATTATGCTGGACTTGATGTTGGGAGATACCTCTGGGATATGAACACATTTGCAAGGGACTCTGCCTCTCTTGATCTGGTCCAGTGGCTGTCTGGAAAACCCGAGTGGAGGTCAATGTATGGGAAGGACCATTTCTTTGTTGCAGGGAGGGTCACTTGGGATTTCAGGAGACATGGTGACAACTATACTAATTGGGGAAACAAACTGATGTTGTTACCAGAGGCGAAGAACATGACAATGTTGGCGATTGAATCAAGCCCCTGGAGCAGTAACGACTTCGCGATTCCATATCCAACGTACTTCCATCCTTCAACCGACAGGGAGGTGTTCCGGTGGCAGAGCAAGCTGAAAAGGCAGAAAAGGCGATACTTGTTCTCATTCATTGGTGCTGCGCGGCCTACTCTTCAAGATTCTATCCGGGGTCAGATTATCAAGCAGTGCCTAGCTTCGAAGAGGAAATGCAGGCTGCTGGATTGTAGTTCTAGGAAGTGTTACAATCCGGTTCACGTGATGAAAATGTTTCAGAAGTCCACATTCTGCTTGCAGCCATCCGGAGATTCATACACAAGGCGATCAATGTTTGATTCGATTTTAGCCGGTTGCATACCGGTTTTCTTCCATCCAGGTTCTGCTTATGTCCAATACATATGGCATTTACCAAAGAATTATACAAAATATTCAGTGTTTATACCAGAGAATTCAATTAGAGATGGTAAGGCCAGTATTGAGAAGACACTGCTTAAAATATCGAAAGACGACGTCTTAGCCATGAGGCAGGAGGTTATAAGGTTAATCCCTAGGGTAATATATGCAGATCCAAGGTCTAGATTGGAGAACATTGAAGATGCATTTGATATAGCAGTTAAGGGAGTTCTCGAGAGAGTTGGGACAATTAGGAGGGATACGAAAGAGGGGAGGAGTTCTAATATTGAATGTGAAGAAGATAACAGTTGGAAGTACTACCTTTTTGGGACAGAAAAAAAACATGAATGGGATTATTTCTTTTCAAAAAGCAAACAAGAAAATTAGAACATGGGTTATAGACATCATTACATTAATTCTTGTTCTAAAGTTGTTCCTATATGTTGTCCTATCTGTATACAAAACTGGATTGTTTATTTCTTTTAACTCTTCTTTATATGTGTATTATGTTTGGTGATTTGGTCTTCAAAAGATTACATATAATTTATTTTTTTTTCCTTAGCTTTATATCACTTCATGGTCTCTCTGTGGATTTTATTTATGTTTTTGGTGTTTGGGTAGGATTTGAACTAATTGGTTATTGAAATACTCAACAATGATGTGCTAATAGTAGAAATTACATAATCTCTTGGTGGATTGACAGAACAATCTCACTACTTCATAGGGTTTTAACGTGAAAGTAAGAACTGGTAACTGAATATAAGGCCAAATAAATCAATATAAATAGGAAAATAAAATAATAATAAATAGGCCAATAGAGGTTGTAGAAAGTAGTGGAATAAAAGATTTTCAGACCTTCTCAAGCCCAACATTATTTTTGCTCCACCATGAAATTCTGCTCGTTTTCTATGGTACTTTGAGCACCATGACTTTATTTATTTATTTATTCCTAGTTGGTACTCACACACACATTCCTCTACTGATACTCGAACCCCTGATCACCCTTTGGAAAGTAAGGACCTGGTACCACTAGGCGACTGGACTGTTGGTCACCACGACTCTATTAATTAAACATTGTTCGAGTGTGATTATCACCCATGAAAACCCATAAAAAATGATGCTGAAATCATTCATCAACAGGAATCACGACAAAAAGTGCTGTTGTGCTTTCTTCTTCTGCTTCCTCCTATGGTTTCTATTGCTTCGCTTTCATGATTCAGATTTATTTGCAGACAATATTTATGGGATAACAACATTTTCTGACTACGCCAGTTCTTGCATTTTTGGAGAATCTAGTCCTTGTCATGGTTTCACCGAAAATTCCAGTGAAACCAGTAGTCCAGTGACCATAACTGAAATGGTCCCCAAACAGCCTAGTAAACAGGAAAAAGAGAAGATGACACCTGATCTGGATTCTTGTTCAGGTCGATACATCTATGCTCATGATCTTCCTAGCCAGTTCAATGATGACCTTCTCATCAATTGTTTGGCCGGCACAAATGGTATATTTTGTGCCAGTCCATGTTGAACAAGGGTCTTGGACCTAAGGTTGCATTATTTAGTAGATTTCTCCACAATACCGGTCACAAACCAATACATGTTGGAAGTCATTTTTCATAACAGAATGAAGCAGTACAAGTGCTTAACAAATGACTCATCTCTGGCTTCAGCAATTTATGTACCCTTTTATGCTGGACTCGATGTTGGGCGCTACCTATGGGATTTTAACACATTGATGAGGGACTCCATGGCTCTTGATCTGGTCAAGTGACTCGCTGAGAAACCCGAGTGGAAGTACATGTGGGGAACTGGGAAGAGAGCATTTCTTTGTTTCTGGAGGGTCACTTGGGATTTCAGGAGACTAATCAACAATGATTCTGCTCTGGGCAATAGACTCATGTTATTACCAGAAGCTAAGAACATGACAACGTTGATAACCGACTCAAACCCCACGTCACATAAAGATTTTTTGATTTCATATCCGACAAGCTTCCATTTTTCTAGTGATAATGACGTATTCTGGTGGCAGAACAAGCTGCGAATACTGCAAAGACCCTACTTCATCTCATTTGTGGGTGGACAAAGACCCAATCAAGGTTTTATCCAGGGTGAGATTATTAAGCAGTGCCTTGCTTCAAGGAGGAAATGCTGGTTTCTAGATTGTAATTCTAGTGATTGTAATGACCCAGTTCTACTGATGAGAGTGTTTCAAAGATCTAAATTCTGCTTATTTCCTCAGGGAGAAACATTCTCTAGGCGATTAACATTTGATTCAATTTTGGCTGGGTGCATTCCGGTTTTTAACCATCCTTTTACTGCCTATCTGCAATATATATGGTATTTTCCTAAAGATTATTCAAAATATCTGGTGTTTATACCACAAAAAGCAATTAAAGATGGATCCATTATTGAGAAGACATTGCTTGAAATACCTGAAGATGAAGTCTTAGCTAAGAGGGAGGAGGTCATTAGGTTGATTCCCAGTATAATATATGCAGAACCAAGGTCTAGATTGGAGAACGTTGAAGATTCATTTGATATAGCAATTAAAAAAGTTCTTGAGAGAGTTGGGAGGAAGTTGAAGGAGGGGGATTCTAATTTTCATTCTGTGGAAGATGATAGTTACAAGTACAACCTTTTTGGGACAGTGACATAACATGAATGAGATTCTAACTTTACAAAAAGAAAAGATCCCAAATCTTCCTTGTCTAATGTAGCATAAACAGAACAAGAAAGATTGAAGAAACAAAAAAAAAAACGAAGAAATTTTTCATGGTTGTAGACAGGTCAAGTGACTTCTTTACATTCTCCTTCCAGTGTTTCTTTTCTTTCATTCTTTTATGGTTTCTGATATTAAGTATATTTAAATTCTTAAAAAATTCAGACCATATCATTTGCAACCTTGTCATGCCTCCAGGAATTTAAAAAATGTGTAAATAATAACATCATAGTCACAAATAATATTTCCCCTCTGGCTTTGATATTCTGATAATTATCAAAATGCAAGCTCTCAATCAGATAAAAACCAGATCTGTAAAGAAAAGTTCTATGATCTTTGACAAATCATAACAAATTTAAACAGTTTTTATTTTTTGTTTTATTAGGAAAAAGATCACATATTCTCTGAAAAAAAACACAATGAAAGCACACATAAATGAAAAGCCAAGAGAGCTAAGGAGGCAGCATTAGAACTCAGTGAAAAATGCACCTCTTTAGTTAGTACTCTTCCATGAGGACAAGGGTGGGGTGTCTGAATTCTGCCAAGTAGCTGACATGTTTTCATATCTTTCACCCTTAACAGCATCAGCAGAAGCAAAAGATTCAAGTTCGGCTATCTCTTCCGGTGTTAACTTCACCGACAAAGCTCCGATATTCTGGTTCAGATTCTCAATCTTGGTGGTGCCCGGTATAGGACAAACATCATTCCCTTGGTGATAAACCCAGGCCAAAGCTAGTTGTGATGGGGTGCAACCCTTCCTTGTTGCCATTTCGTTAACCCTCTCGAATATGTTTTTATTGTGCTCCAAATTCTCGGATCGGAACCGTGGTAGATTCTACAAAAGTGGATTTATCGAGTATATTTGAGCATCAAATCTTGGAAATGATCATAAACACAATTACTCTATCATAAGTCAACATGCTTAATTTAAAATAATTCAGAAACAAAATTTAATATGTTTCCTAGTCGTGAAACAAAGTGTTTAAGCAGCTATAAGTATGTCAGTATAAATGTCAACATGCAATGTTGTTGAAGAATATGCAAATATGAATAATATGTGAGCTAGCTTTGTGAATAAACCAGCCTTGTCCATAGAAGGGACCTCACTAATAAAGTGTTGTAGTCATCTTCTTTATTTAGAATGTTGGCTACCAAGTGAACCTCATTAAGGTGATACTTATGAAAGCTTTGTTAGTTTCAAAAGATTAATCACTTAATGATTTACAAGCAAAAAAGAAAGATTAAATTCTTGGCAATCACAAGCGAATAAGCAAATTCTTTATCACTAATGCCACTCTATCACATTCTTTTTTTAGTCCAGGCAAAACTCACACACCCACATGCTCCCGTGGGGACTTGAATTCTCAACATTCTACCCTGTTTACTCTGTCACAATCTGAGACTAATCAATAATGTTGCCTATGTTATAAGAGCACAAACCTTTCGGTAGTCACGTGAAGACAAGTTTTCAACCATCTTGGGACCTGAAGTGAAGAATCCCCGACCGAGCGGACTGTAAGCCACAATCCCAATGCCGAGTTCTCTGAATAAACATAAGAATGGTGAAATTAGAATCGCAGAATAATTGCTTAGTAGTCTCTAAACACATTAGATGGCACGGTACTAGATGACTCACCTGCAAGTAGGAACAATTTCTTCTTCCAGATCTCTAGTCCACAAGGACCACTCTAACTGCACAGCAGTAATGGGATGAACAGCATGTGCCCTCCTGATTGTTGAAGCAGAGGCCTCAGATAGACCTATATACTTAATCTTTCCCTCTTCAACTAGTTTCTTGAGTTCTCCCATCTAGCAAAAGCACGCACCCAAATTAAGATCATCAAAATTCATGTGCATTGGTCACTTCTTATTTACATTGTTTAATCGACCTATTTTGTCAGCTTAAATAACATTACAACTCCAAAATTAAGTATATATGTTACAATGCATCTATTAAGTAGATATATTGAAGTGGGCATTTTGTAATTGGAATAAAAGTGAAGACAACAAAGTACTAATTTGATACATTAGAGGCAGAGAAAAAGGGAGTGTTTGCTCACTGTGACTTCAATAGGGACACGAGTGTCAATGCGATGCTGGTAATAGAGATCAATGCAATCAACATCGAGACGCTTCAGGCTGCCCTCGCAGCAAGCCCGCACGTAATCTGGATCACCACGAATATCTGCCTTGCCGTTGGCAAAGCTAATGCCAAACTTGGTAGCCAACTGTACTCTCTCTCTCATCCCTCCCTTCAGACCCTGTACCATATATATATATATATCAAATAATAAGATTCCAATAACTACCTTATATGAAACATGGATGTGGAATAGCAAGTATAAATGTACGTGTGTGTATATATATTCAATCAAGTTCAATAATATAATTATTCCACAAAAATACAATATAAGATTACATTTTGTGATCATTATGGAGTGTGAGAATGTGGGAGTGCTTTTAAAGGGCAATAAATGATTGTGTGATTTTCTACCTTTTGTTTTAAAAGTTGGTGGAGTGTGGAGCACAGAAGTAGATTGGAAATATCATTTTTCTTTAATATATAAATAAAAATAATATTAATTAAAAAATTTAAAAAATAGGAAGGGTAAATAATCTCACAGTCACATGGTAAGAGAATGGACCTACTAAATGAGAAGAGGAATCCTAAATGAGGTTCACAATATTATAAAATAGAAAGAAGCAGGAGAAGAAGAAACAATCTCAAATGGAACATTTTCCAAATAATTAAAAATAATGCATTTGTAATAACAAAGGAATTTTACAATGAGTCCCATGTTATTAGATGAGATGTTTAGCAACTGCCTAAGTGGCCTATACACATAACCTGCCCTCCATATACTATGATTAATATGTGCTTAAGAAAAAGATGATGACAAATAAGTACTTTTATGAACTAATTACTAATATTATTTATAAAATAAAATTTAAAAAAATTGAAAAAATATGAGAGTTGCTAGTGTCCTTAAACATGGATTTTGGGGTTTTAAGGTTCAGAACCTTCCCTTTTTTCACTGTCCGCAATTAACATCCATGTGCACTTGGGAGACTCAAACCCTCATTTTTCACTTTGAAATGAGAGGAAATACCACTAGACCACATGGCGTTGAGAACTTATGTATTCCAAAACATTTGAAATGTATGGAGTATGTGTTTGAAAAAATAACATAAATTTACAAATTTATAAATAAAGTTTCAAAGTACTGAATATGTATCTAAAACTATCCAAGAAAGTATTGGGCAAGTGCAGTACTTTAGAGAAATGTCAAATCCAACAAAACAAAATAAAAAGTAGAGGTATAATTCGAAATGATTGAATAAGTCGAGTGGTTAATCTAAGCATAATCCAGAGTACAAAACTCACTCCAAATTCAAACCCAATATATATATATATATATATATATATATATATATATAGATTACTTATATTAGGCTTTGATGTTATGTTTGGGAGCACCAAATCCACCGCTTGGATATGAAATTGAAGAAAAATGTAGGTCAAAAGCACCGATTCTGTGCTCCCCAACGCAACATGAGTGATTTAATTGATTTGGAATTCACCGAGTTTGCTTGAGTTGGGCTCAAATTGTGCAATACTCTAACCCCAATCCCAATCCCAATCTGAATTGAGATAAGTTTTAAAAATTTAACTGAAAATCCACCATGAAAAACAAATTAAAAGGAGCTGTCTAAAATGTAAATGGGTTGAAAGACGGATCGATTTGGACTCAAATTGAAGTAAGAATGAGTGGTGGATGTAGTTGAATGTACCTTGCCGAGAAGGATCTCATTGGCAAAGGGGCCGTACATGTCAGAGGTGTCGAGGAAGGTGACACCGGAGTTGATGGCGTGGTGGAGGAGAGCGATCATGTCTTCCTCTGACTTCGGAGTGCCGTACAAGCCTGGAGACATGCTCATGCACCCCAGTCCCTGTGCTGATACCTCCAGACCTTGCGAACCCAACTTTATTCTTCTCACTCTACTCCCCATCTCTCACTCTAGATTCTTACTTCGCTTCACTTTCTTTGCCGCCCACCTCTTAATTTTAGCTGATACTTGCAGATCAATGGACGCTATATATATATATATATATATATATATATATATATATATGAAACTAACCTTAATGCAGCTAAGTGCTAACAGCATATAGTGGCGGGATTCGGCATCCACCAAGATGGCAAGACGGTCAAAAAAAATAAAAAATAAAATAAAAGCCGGCAATATGGTCAGAAAGGGAGCCAGGTCAACGGTCCATATTCTTCTGGATGAAATATTTTATATATTTGCATATACTACGCATAAAATAAAATTTATAAAATACACTTTCTTATTTTTATCAAATAAAACTATCATATCACATTCTTTGTAGAAAAACAAATGTTTGTTGAGTGTTTATATCACATTCTATAGATTTATTATAGGATAAAGTGAAAAAAAAAAACTTTTAGCTGTGTCCGAATTTATAAATAACTCTCTTCATTTTGTGCACCTTATTATATAAACTATCACATTTTCTTACAAAATGTGCTCCCATATCTTGACTATATTTCATTAAATAACCATAATGTCAATTTTTTATTGAATTACATTTAATTTACTTTTGTATTAAAATTCATACTAATTTGATGGCATATTCCATAGATTTATTATAGGATAAAGTCCCAAAAAAAAAAAAAAAAAAATCAAATCAATCCTAATTATGTCCGAATTTATAAATAAACCCGTTCATTTTGTGTGCGGTATCTTCTAAATTATCACATTTTGTTACAAAATATGCCCCCGTGTCTTGGTTATTGTTGATATACGTACTACGACGTCTACTTGAGTGGCACCATCTCTAAAAATAAGCATACCTGACTAGTACTTATCTGGCGTGCTTCTGAAATGACCAAGTATCCTCGAACTACTCGTCCTATAACGGAATTTACTGATCGAGGAAGGCGGAACCCCGAGGAAGGCTATTTCCTAATCTTCAGTTGTGGGAATATGAGTATCAGTGGTTAGATAACTGAGTTCCAAGAAATCGCCTCACTTCGAGGTCTACACAAGTGGGAGAGAATGTTTAATACCCAATAGCTGAGCTCGAGTAATAGAGACCACATAATATATATATATATATATATATATATATATATATATATATATATATATATATATATATATATCTTATAGAATGACCATTGGATAAAGACTGAGCTACCCTTGTTACCAAGGGTCCTTACCCAGGTGAAGCGACCATTGGATAAAGAGGGAGTGGGCTCTTATGACCAATGGTCCTTACCCAAATGAAAGTAATATAAATAGGGCTTAACTCTCACCATTTAGTAAGGTTGAAAAATACACATATGCACAACCATAACCATTGAGAATGGTACTCTAAGGCTCGAGCTACCATAGGGTGTTAAATAAATTTGCCTTCTCTCTCTCAATCTCCTCTATGAAGAGTCCCTTGTGCTAGCTTGGAGCTCTACTCAGCCTCTGATCTTAACATCCCCGACAGACGTGGAATGATCTCCTCACATCATGATGAACTAGGTACCCTCAGGAGTTATATTTCATTAAATAATCATAATGTCATTTTTTATTGAATTACATTTAATTTATTTTTGTCTTAAAATTCATACTAATTTGATGGCATATTCCATTATATTTGCATAAATTTACCTTTAATTCTTAAATTTAATTGTTTAAATACAAATCTTAAGTAGAAATTTTTTAAAAAAATTAAATAATTTAGTAATTTTTCATGAATATATGTACGAAAAAGAAGTTATTTTTTTAGGTAAATTTTTTTAAATCAAGTATAATAAGTATGATTATAAATAGTAAAGATTTAATAATCAGTTAATCATTTTGAAAAATGGTAAATGGTAGTTAAAACTTACAACTCTATTTATTTATTTTTTTTAATTTTTATAATAAATTGATGCAAACAATAAAATTAGTTAGATAAGAAAAAAAAAATAATAAAAATAATATAATAAGAAATGAAAATTTTAAATTTGACCTTAATCGTAACAATTTATAATTCTGGAGGTTATTTGCAAAACGATATTAATTTAAAATTTCTTTTTAACTCTTTACCTGTAATTAGTATATATTCTTAATATAATCATCATGATGAGATGATATGCACTCTTACATTAGTGCAGTGAGGATGGCCTGGAAGTCAATAATGGAGTTTTTATTCACATATCAATTATATCAGTGTCAGTGACTTTGTCACCATGGATTGCGACAGACTACAAGTTCATAGAGAATTTTGAATTTTGCAAGGAATATAATAAAAAATATGGTTATTTCCTAGGACAGGTTCCTTCGGCAATTAAAATTCTAAATAAATGTAAATGACTTTGAAAGTCACTATTGACTTTATATATATATATTAGAATATAATCTTATTATTGTATTTCTTGTGGGCAATATTTGATTTTTTCAAAGAGCAAAAAGAGATAAATAATAATAAAATTATTTTCGAATCACACTAAAAGCTATACGCCAGTGATCTTTTTTCTCTTTTGAAATTAGAATGTTTGGATTTTTTAAAAGGTTTTGTTTGGTTAGATAAATCAATATGAAAAGAAAGGTAATAGAAAATTTTATAAATCAACATGAAAAGAAAGGAAATATAAAATTTTAAATTTTTTTAAGAGTTTGGTCATATGGAAAATGAAAAGTTCTAAAAAATTAAGAATATACTTAGTTTGTAACCCTAAAAATAGTTTTCAGAAAATATAGAACAGTTTTCAAAAAATTATAAAATATTGTTATCTAAAAAGAGGTAATTTTATAACTGAGTTTTCACAAAATAATTTTCGGAAACTGAATCAAATAGAGTTTTTTTGTACAGTTTTCAATTTTCAGATAATAAAAAACTTTTTCCATAGTTACAAACCGAGCAAGCCTTAAAGTTCTCATAACTTTCTATTTTCCTCAAAAACGTTTCGTGCTTAAAACACGGAGAAATTTTATTTTCACGTGAAAGCACAACTTCATTGTATTATTTTACACAAAAACTTTATCATATTTTTTTGACTCAATAATTGTAGTCCAACAACAACTTTATCATTGATAGGGTTTGAATTAACTTAGACTTTCATTTTTAGTTGTTTTCATTGTATGAATGAAATAAATAGTAAATTAATTGAAAACTCCATCATTTTTATTTTTATTTTTTAATATATATACAAAACTAATTAATTTTTTATTATTTTACAATTTTTATAAAATAATAATTTTCTTGAATAAATTTTCATATTTTTTTTCTTAGTTGGTTAGAGGTTGATACCGTTAGGTCATTAACTTGTTGGTATAAATAAATCAAATACATAATAGAAAATCAATCTTCTTTTCATTTTTTATTTCCTTTTTTTTGTCATTTTCTGTGTCTTTTCTTTTCTTTTCTTTTCTTTTCTTACTATTTCCGTCTAATCAAACGCAGTCTAAGGTAAAAATTTAGTTTTAAAAAAACAAAATATTAGCACTCTTTTAACAATAATAATAATAATTATTTTCTTAATTGATATTTATTAGGAGACTTGACCCCTGCCGCTAAACCGCTAAATCGTTAGTAAGGAAAATCTTTTTCTTTAGAAAGCATTCAGGTTTTAGGGTGAAGTAAATATATAATGATAATATAATGATTCTGGTACGCGTTGATAAGAGTCGCAAACTCAAAATTACAGGGAACAATATTCTCTCTTACCCCACTCTAGTCATAATCATAAATATATTAGGAACTTATTCCGCAATCACTATCATGACTTATGATATTAATGGGTAATTATTCTGGACGAATAGCTATTTGAGTCCTCTTGCAAGTGCACACTAGCTTGTGTTTGATTTTTGGATAATTGCACATATTCAGAAATAAAGATATTATTTAAATTTTTTTATATTTTTTTCCTTAGTGTTTAAAATTGATTAAATATAGGGTAAAGTGAAAAACCCCCTTATATATAGACTTTGTGTAAAATTAGTTCATGTTTTTTGAAATGTGCATGCAAGTCCACAAAATTCAAAAAAGGTGCACAATTAGTTCCTCTAACCACTTTTTTGGTAAAAAAAAAAAAAATACAAAACCCAATTTTGCCCTTTGTTCTTCCCATTTTGCCCCTAAAAAAAAACTCAGTTGTTTTCTTCCTCATCAACTACTTCGGCTAACTTTCATTCCATCCATTAAATCCGGCGAACCCAAGTTCTGCTTGCTCCACCAGTGATAGTGACCTTCGAACCCACCTCAACGAAACCCAGTTCAATCATCCGGTTCATGTAAGCTTCATTGCTCTACCTTGTCGGTGACCCATCATCAAAGATTCAACAGTTTTGACAAGCTGAATTTAGAGACCCATCTCGTTTGGAGTTGCATTGAAGGCCAGTGAGCTCTAAGCAACAAGAACAATACTAGTGACAGAACTGTGACCTCCACAAACTGCATTTTCCACCATTGAGCTTCAACTACCAAACCAAGAAGCTAACAGCGAACAACAACCCGAATTTTGGCGAACCCAGTTCAGTCCGGCAAGCTTCATATTCACCCAGTTCAGTCCGGCAAGCTTCACATTCACTTAGTTCAGCGTGCTCCAACTTAGCTTCATCTACATTAACAACAGAGAGAATGAAATCGATAACGTCCACGCAAGCTCCACCATCTACATGCACTACCACTGGTGACCAAACTAATGTGCCTCAAAGATGAACCAACAGTGTTCTTCATTGAAGAATCATTCTGGCCGGAGTTACATATGAGACCCATTTCTGACGTACTTCACTTCAAATCAGCGAGCTGCACTCAAAGACTCAACAATTTCGATGATCTTCAGTTAGACCCAAAAGCTGCTTCAACACCATTAGCTCCGGTGAGCTTCGTTCAACAACTTGGCGAACTTCAGTCGTGAATTGTAATGACCCAAAAGCTTCAATCTGGTGACAATCAGTTCGGTGAGCTTCAATCTTAACATTCAATCTTCTCCACGGCCGTCGTTTTGTTCAGTCCATTCAAACCGAGCTCAGCTGCTGTCCTTCATCGCCGGTAAATCCTTCATCATCGTTGAGCAACTCCTTGCCGTCCTTCTTTGTCTTCACTGCCGTTACCTCTTAAACACACGTTTTCTCTCTCTAACCAATCACCCTCTCTCATGGTGGCTCTGCAACAATTTCTCACAATTGATGGGTTAAATTGATGTTGTGATTCTATATTGGATGTGGATCGAATGCCAATTGAAGGTGTCCACGAGTTCGGGTCAAGTGATGGACCAGTCGCTGAGTTGCTCCACAATTTCCCCCAAATTCTTTGGACTTTGTATATTGACACATTATACAAATTTGTTGGGATCCTTGCTGCCATACAAATTGGTGCACACCCTCTATCTTCTTTTTCTTTTTCTTTGCTTCCTTTGCTTGCTTTTTTCACCGCTTTAAAATTGCATATCTATATGCTTATAGGGTGTGGCGGTGATGGGTGGTGGCAGGTGATAGAAGTGGAGACTGAGGAAAGAAGATGAACAGTGTCTTATGGGCATAAGGCTGTGTTTGGGTTGAGGAAAATTAGGTTTAGGTGATGTTTGGGACAAAAAGGTCATTTTACATGACCTATATTTATATTTATTAATTTATTCAACTGAAATGAAAATATTATTATCATTTTATATAATACAGAGACCTAATTATACAAAATTGATAATATAAGAGTTTTTTTACCACACAAGAACTGATATACACTCGATGATAGAAGGGTTTTTTTGCACTTTACCCTTAAAAGAAAAGCCCCTCTTGCCTTTTTTTCTCTCTCTAAAAATGCCTGGAAAACCTATATTCACACACACACACACATATATATATATAGTTAGTCATCACCACCACAACCACAACTCTCATCGAGAAAGCTCCGCCGGACAAAAGAAAAGAACAAATAGAGGAGCAACCACTTCCGTCGCAGACTCGCGGTCCACGAAGCCACACAAATCAATCCAAATTCCTTCACAAAATTGCACAAACCTCAGGGTTCGAAATCAATGTATAGTCTGGTGAAGAGAAGGCTCTGGTGGGTTGAGAGCTTCTCTTCTAAATCAATCATAAATCAACCAGAAATTAACGTGTACAAAGGAATCCGAAATCTTTTGGTGGGTCGAAAGCTTCTCTCTCCTAAATTAATCCAAAATCTACGTGTATGGAGAAAACTTGATCTCTCTCCCAAATCAATCCAAACGTGTTCGTAGAAAACCTGATCTTTAACACTGGTGATAGCACCGAAATCTTGCCAATCAAAATCGGCGGTTAGTTCTCCGATGAAGAGAGAGGGGAAGAACATAGCCACGTGTTGAATTTTCATCAAAATATATTTTTTTATTCAATTTATTTATTTATTTATATTTTTAAAAATGAGAATGAAATAACCATTCCTTTTGTTGAAAAGTTCAGAGAATGGTTAGGAATCAATCAAATTAAAAAATAAAATAAAAATATTTCCTTCCCGCTTCATTTGATTCCTACAAATGCAGGAATTGATCGGTATTAAAAAGACAAAAAATTATATATATATAAAGAAAAAAAAGTAAAGAAAAGAAAAAAATTCTCAAGTTTTGTTGTATAAAAGATTCTCACACTATGGAGATACATATATATGTAAAGCCAAAAGAACCCAGGAGGCAGCATTAGAACTCAATACTGAAAGGCATCTCTTTAGTTAGTGCTCTTCTTCCATGAGGACAAGGGTGGGGTGTCTGAATTCTCCCAAGTTCCTAAAATGCTGTCATTTCTGTCACCCTTAACAGCATCAGCAAAAGCATAAGATTCAAGTTCAGCCATCTCTTCCGGTGTCAGCTTTATCGACAAAGCTCCTATGTTCTGGTCCAGATTCTCAATCCTGGTGGTGCCCGGTATGGGACAAACGTCGTTCCCTTTGTGATGAACCCACGCCAAAGCTAGCTGTGATGGGGTGCATCCCTTCCTTGTTGCCATTTCGTTAACCCTCTCGAATATGTTTTTATTGTGCTCCAAATTCTCATATCGGAATCGTGGTAGATTCTACAAAAGTGGATTTATAGAGTATTATCAAATATTGGAAATGATCACATAAACACAATTACTCTATCATAAGTCAACACGCTTAATTTAAAATAATTCAGAAACAAAATTTATATGATTTCTAGTCATGATCAAAGTGTTTATGCAGCTATAATAATGTCGATATAAATGTCAATACTTAATGATGTTGAAGCATATGCAAATATGAATAATATGTGAGCTAGCTTTGTGAATAAACCAGCATTATCCATAGAAGGGACCTCACAAATAAAGTGTTGTAGTAATCTTCTTTATTTAGAATGTTGGCTACCAAGTGAAACTCATTAAGGTGAGACCAGGCTAGGAAAGCTTTGTTAGTTCCAAAAGATTGGTCACTTAATGATTTACAAGTAAAACTAAAGAACAATGAACAATGATGACATTAGGCCAAAAATTTATCCCTAATGCTACTCTTATCACATTCTTTTATTAGTCCTTGTAAAATTCATACACCCACATGCTCCTATGGGGACTCGACATCCTATTTAGAAGGTGAGAAAGTATAACTGGGTTATAGCCCTTGGTGGTACTCCGTCACATTTTAAGACTAATCAATAATGCCTAGTTTATAAGAGCACAAACCTTTCTATAGTCACGTGAAGACAAGTTTTCAACCATCTTGGGACCTGAAGTGAAGAATCCCCGACCTAGAGGACTGTATGCCACAATCCCAATGCCGAGTTCTCTGAATAAGCATAACAATGACGAAATTAGAATAATGGATTAATTGCTTACTACTCCGTAAACATATTACATGGTACAATAGATGCATTACTAACCTGCAAGTAGGAACAATACCTTCTTCCGCATCTCTTGTCCACAAGGACCACTCTAACTGTACAGCAGTTATGGGATGAACAGCATGTGCCCTTCTAATTGTTGAAGCAGAGGCCTCAGATAGACCTATATATTTTATTTTGCCCTCTTCAACTAGTTTCTTGAGTTCTCCCATCTAGCAATATTAAATAAGCATGCCCAAAGAACATCAAAATTCATGGCATTGCTCACTTCTTATTCACACTGTTTAATTGACCTACTTTGTTAGCTTGAATATCATTATTCCAATAAAGGGCTGGTCCAATGCACGAGACTTCTGTCATTGCGAAAACTAGAGAGTCAGATATACACACGTAGGCATGCTGAAAGATTGTTTTGCGTTTCGATTGTCACATTGGAGAAACCTTACAATACTTGAGTAAATACATATCTCACCATCCAGCCACTTATGGTAACCCATGCATTTTAAGCAACAAAGTGTTACTTTATAATGAAATAAAAAGTGCGTATTTAAATTCGACATGAAAGTGAAGACAAGAAAGTAGTAGTTTGATTCAATATTAGAGAGAGAGAAGTGGAAGTGATTGGTCACGTACCGTGACTTCAACAGGGACGCTAGTGTCGATGCGATGTTGGTAATAAAGATCAATGCAATCAACATCAAGCCGCTTCAGGCTGGCCTCGCAGCAAGCTCGCACGTAAGCTGGATCGCCACATATGTCTAACTTGCCATTTGCAAGGCTAATGCCAAACTTGGAAGCCAACTCTACTCTCTCTCTCATCCCTCCCTTCAGAGCCTGTACCATATATATATATATCAAACGTCATAAGATTCCAACAACTACCTTATAGAGGGCATTGATGTGGGTACCTTATAAATATCAGTGATAGAGAGTCCAATAGCCTGACAATTCCGATTGGTTTGATATAAGTGGGAGACGAGAGCCTCATCACTCACTCACCACACTCACTCTAAGAAAGTTCAAATTAAAATAATTTGACACAATATATTATTAAATCGTATTATATTAGAAATGTTTGATTTTAAAGTTCAGAACTTATATGGGGTATTTGTTTGGAAAGAAAATTATATCAACAGATCATGAATACATTTTCAAAGTAGTGAATATGTATATCCCCAATTATCCAATAAATTATTGGGCTATGTATAGTAATTTCCAAGTAATGTCAATATTCACAATTGAATTTCATAGACTAAAAATCCCACAAAACAAAAATATAAACTACCAGAGGTGCAATTTGAATTGATTGAATATAAAAACTCATGGTCCAAATTCAAACCTAACAAAACTTTAGTCAGATTACTGAAATTATTGGACAGACTTTGAGTTAATGTTGATTGATTGAAGTGGCTAGGGTTTGAAGGTACCTTGCCGAGAAGGATTTCATTGGCAAAGGGGCCGTACATGTCGGAGGTGTCGAGGAAGGTGACACCGGCGTTGATGGCGTGGTGGATGAGAGCGATCATGTCTTCCTCTGGCTTTGGAGTGCCGTAGGGCCCAGCAGACATGCCCATGCACCCCAGTCCCTGCGCTGATACATTCAGACCTTGCGAACCCAAATTTATCCTTCTCACACTACTTGCCATTTCTCTCTCTAGCTTCTTAATTTGCTGAGAGTTGCAGTGGAATGGGAGTATATATATATATATATATATATATATATAGGTTAAATTGCACAAACTCCCTGAACTATCTCTATCAAGAAACACCCCCTGATCTACTAATTATACACTTAACTCCCTACACTATTCTAAATTTTGCAAATAACTCCACGTGGATACTTTTCCGTACGGCAAAATGGAGGAAGCAAGTCACGTGACCAATATGATTTTTTAAAAGGACATTTCTGCCCTTTGGGATTGCAAAAAGGCATTTTATGCCCTTTTGTGCCACTCTTTCTAAGCCAGTTTTTTTCTTACGAAATCCCAACAAAATGAACCCACAATACCTATTTGATGAAATCCCCATTTTCTTATGCACTTTTATGAATCATCTCTCGGTTAGTCGTTGCTAATTTTTGTGATTTTAGAAGAGAGAACACGCATATGAGATTATTGACTAGTTACGATTGAGAGGGTTAAGACTTAGGCTAGGTTAAGAGATTAATGGATGAAATGGGGAATCACACTTCTACAAAGAATTGAATAAAGATCACTAATCTTTTAAAACTCACTTCAACGTTATTTACACTAGATTTATCTGAGTTGACGTGTAAAGGACGAGATAGAGTGAGGAGTAGTTAATTTTTTGTGCACTTTGAGATTATATCAATCTTTATTAGCAACTCATGACATAGCTTTATTAATGGGTAAAACAATAATTTCATTTCTCCGTTAACAACTATTCGTTGCAATCAGATAAAATGTGTATTTTCATTAGTTCACAGGGTCAGTTTGTAATTTAGAAAGTTAGTTACAAACTGGTCAAATTCCGGGAGTTTTATGTAATTTACCAATTAGAAATTAATCAACCTAGAACACCAGACGGTGGCAGAATTCCTCGACCACCGAGGTGGATTAATGTGATGGCATGATATTCAGATATTTCACTTGGTCAGAAAGTGTGGGAACTCAAAAGTCAATAGTGTACTAGAAGCTAACGTAAAGTCCATATTCTGCGAAAAGTCATACAATTATCTTTGAAGAATGGTGCTTATATCACATTCTCTCTCTCTCTCTCTCTATATGTGTGTGTGTATATATATATATATATATTCTGTATATGATCAGATCATATGCACTCTGAATGTCGCATTAGTATGAGGATGGTCTGGAATAATTAGCACTCTCTTAAGGAGGAAGCAGCTAGATCAAAATTACCAGTGAGAATTCTATTAACCCAAATAATTAGCACTCTTTTAATATTTATGAAAATAATAATAATAATAATAATATCACTCTTTTAGCTAGGGTTATTTATTTATTTATTTTTGTATGTGCGCGTGCAAGAAAAAATTTATTATTTTTTCTCCCCGGAGCATAAATCGATATATATAAAACTCATTAAACCGGCCAGAAGCCCAAATGCAAGAGAAAAATAGTCCACGAAGACTAAAGAAACATTGTAAACCAAGCCCAGGCTCATGTAAGTTTTCTTGCCTTGATGTGTAGTTTAGAAATTAGATATTATTAAAACTTATTGCAAACCACGGGCTCATTGTTGTCGCATTTACAAATATGGGGTTATTTCCAACAACAACAATCAAGCTTTATTTCCAACTACTTCAGTGAAATAAGTATAACATTATACATAAATATGAGTATATGCAAGTACTGATGTACACGCATGCATATATACATATATGGAAAATACGGTACCGTTTCTGAACACAGTGAAATGAAGGAACCTAACGAGTTTTAGAACACCAGAAAATTGCAACACCACGAGTCCTGAAGAAACTATAGGAGGCAGAGGTGTATGTTTTATTCGGCTTTCCACGAGGACAGTGGGGGAGTGTTTGATTCCCTCCAAGTGAGTGACATGTCCCCGTATCTGTCACCTTTAACAGCATCAGCTGAAGCAATGGCTTCAAGTTCGGCCATTTCTTCTTTTGTTAGCTTCATGGATAAAGCACCAATGTTTCGGTTAAAGTTTTCAATCTTGGTGGTGCCAGGTATGGGGCACACATCATTTCCTTGGTGTAGGACCCACGCCAACGCGAGCTGTGATGGGGTGCACCCCTTCCTTGCTGCCATGGCATTTACTTGCTCAAACAAGTTCTTATTATGCTTCACATTCTCAGGATGGAACTTCGGCAGAGCCTGCAAAAGATGAAACAGTAAATACTTCAATGTTTAAGAACCTACTTAACTCTTTAGGGTTATTGTCCCATTCCTTAACATGTAGGCACCACATTAGCATGTCAAACCGGCATTATATGTACAAATTCAATACCAACACCGATCGTGTAAATATGATTTCAAGTGAACATAGAGATCAACATATTCTCAGTAAACAAAATTTGGTTCCTGATCATGACTCAACACTAAACTCTGTTTTTAAAGTATTAAGAGAAGAGAAATTAGATGTTAATTACATGGATAAAAACAACACGAAGAAAGGAATGCAATCCAGTGTTTGTTAACAACAACACTAACCTTGCGTATGTCATTACTAGAAAACTCCTCAATCATCTTGGGACCTGAAGACAGGAATCCTTGTCCCAGAGGACTGTATGCAACTATTCCAATGCCGAGTTCTCTGAACAATTATGGTGGACAAAATTAGAACTTAAATTGTCTATTATATCTTAATAGCCCTGCTAATGGTATTCGTACCTGCAAGTAGGAATAATTTCTTCCTCTGCATCTCTTGCCCATAACGACCACTCCAACTGTACGGCTGTTATCGGATGAACAGCATGTGCCCTTCTGATTGTTGAAGCAGAGGCCTCGGATAAACCTACATATTTGATTTTACCCTCTTCAACCAATTTCTTGAGTTCTCCCATCTGGCATAAAACACGAGTACATAACATAAAATGGATTAGGGAATGCTAGACACTCGTTCAAAAAGGATGCAAACAAGGAAACAAATACGGAAACATTCAAATCCTGATTTAAATGATATATAGGGGAGGAGACCTGGACACAAAGATCGTCATACCATACGAAATCATATCCTTAGTGTGATCATGCAACTTCAAAAAGAACACCACAATATACTTAACTACTTCCTTAATTATGAATTATATTCATAAGTAAAATGCAAGTACATGGACAGGAGAAGATAACCAGAAAAAAACTTGGACCTTATTAATGTCAACTCATGATTCACCAATCACTGATCTTAGTCATGATAACTTATTATAGAGACTTGCAATGCAGATATATGCAGTTTAACAAAACACAGATTAGTGAAATCTTTATACACGTGAACCACAAATAAATATTTCTATTTTAATTAGTTGGCCAATGTATTCCAATTTGAAGATCGAGCATGACCCTGAATTCACAGAGAGTAAAGTTCTCAATGGCGAAATATAAGACTGATAGATTAAAGATGATAAACTTCACTCTATTTGTTTCGAAATGATTTGATATATATTCTTCCCATTTCTTGTGTTGTGATCAACATATTTTAAACAATTGCATTCTTGGCTGACATTTATCAAACAGGGCGTGGACACATAGAAAACAGACAATTTGTTAACTTTCATTTCCATATCTTCAAATTCTTATATATCAATCAATAAGCACGAATGACAAAAATGAAATATGATCAATCTTTATCATAAATATTCATAATAAAACTAAACAGAAATCGAACTATTATATATATACCGTGAGTTCGATAGGGATGGTAGTGTCGACGCGATGCTGGTAATAGAGATCGATGTAATCGATGTCAAGCCGCTTCAAGCTAGCCTCGCAGGCGGCCCGGACATACGCCGGATCACCGCGGATTTGAAAATTGCCGTCAGAAGTGACGACACCTCCGAACTTGGTGGCTATTTGAACTCTCTCTCTAAACCCTCCCTTGAGAGCCTGATCATAAATTAATTTCATCATCCATCAATTAACAATAAAAGTGAATATATATATATGTATATATATATATGTATGTATACCTTGGCGATGAGGATTTCGTTGGTGAAAGGGCCGTAGACGTCGGAGGTGTCAAGGAAGGTGACACCGGATTCAATGGCGTGGTGGATGAGGGCGATCATGTCGGAATCGGGCTTGGGAGGGCCGTAGAAGGTGGACATGCCCATGCAGCCAAGTCCTTGTGCTGATACTTCTAAACCTTGTGAACCTAACTTCATCCTTCTCACATTCGCCATTAAGTTCCTGTATATACACTTCTCTCTCTATATATATATATCTCTATATGTATATCAATTATATAGTTGCTACAGAACAAGTGCTAACAATGTTTCCTGTATAAATTATATGTATGTATTTATAGAGTGACATTGTGACTCACGGGAGGCAACCATCAAGTTTATGATGCTTGGCGGCCCTTTTTTTTCAATGTTGGTGGCTTACTTGTTTGAGAGGAAATTAGCCTCCATCCCAAAGTCTTTTAGACTAGCTGTAAGATGGGAACACTGACAAACAAGCCCAAAAGGCAAACAAGAAGTTTCAGCACTTTCTTGAATAGTCTCATCTTAGGAAGATTATTTACACCAACCAATCACACTGTTTTGTTGAGGGACCAATGGCGGACTGCTTATGTAATTACTTCTGTTCCATTCCCGAGCCCCTATCCTTTGAGATTAGGACACGATACAATATGTATATGTAAATATATTAAATTTTTAAAAAATAATACACTACACTTAATACGTCAAATTTTTTAAAAATATGACACTAGTATGCATAGACACTGTAACATAAAAATATAAATATTTATTTTTTTATACCTGAAATTTACCTATTAAAAATTTATCAACCTTGACGTGGCAGAATTCCTCGTCCGCCTATTAATGTGATGCCACGATATTTCACTTGGTCAGAAAAATGTGGGAGCTCAAAAGTCTATATTCTTCTAGAAGCTAACGTAATGGCCTACGTGCTAGTTGTGCAAAAGCATTTCAAATAAGCAATGTTTGTCGAGTCAATCCAAATAATAAATTAAGTTCTTATTTAATTAAATGTGATAAATAACACAATATAATTATCACTTAAAAAATAAATACCATTTTATCACTTGAACACTTAAATTTCAAAATAGATTTTAAAAAAATATCCGTTTATAATGGGAACTTAAAATTTAATATATAGAATTTTGGTGCTTAATTTTTTATTTTATCAAAACACCACTATAATATGACTTTTCTTTGAAGAATGGTGCTTAGATCACATTCTATTTCTATATGTATATATATATATATATTCTGTGTATGATGAGATCATATGCACTCTAAATGTCACATTAGTGTGAGGATGGTCTGGAATAATTAGCACTCCCTCAAGGAAGAAGCAACTAGATCAAAATTACTAGTGAGAATTCTGTTAACCCAAATAATTAGCACACTTTTTAATATTTATCAAAACAATAATAATAATAATAATAATAATAATAATATCACTCTTTTAACAATTTTTTTTTTTTTTGTATGTGCGCGTGCAAGAAAAAATTTAATATTTTTTTGGATAAAATGCAAGAAACCCCTCTGGACTATGAAAAAATCTGCAACTTACCCCCTGAATTTTTAAAAATGCAAGAAACTCCCAAGACTATGCAAAATTGTTGCAGATCACTCCATCCATTCAACGTCCGGTGATATAGGACCGTTAAAATTGGTTTCTTAAATTTAAATGACCATACTGCCGATAGAAACATGAAAAGACAATAATATCCTTAATTTTAGAACATCGACCAATCAAGCCTTTATCAAAATTTCCCCAAATCCACAACTCTGATTCTCTAAGGCCTCGTTTGGATTGAGGGATTTGGAGGGTTTTGGAGAGAAAAGAAAGGGAAGGATAGGGATATGTGTGTTTGGATGGAGGGTTTTGGAGAGAAAAGAAAGGATTGGGAAGGATTTGGAGGGATAGCCTATCCCTCCAAATCTCTCCTAAACAGTAAAACCAAATCCCTCCAAAATTGACAAGATTTGGAGGGATTTGGAGAGAAAGGGAGCTAATGACCTTTGGAGCCCATCCGGAAAAGTCGCCGGAAGTTGCAAAGATCATCGGAAAATTCGTCGAAAGTTGCAGAGACTGTCGGAAACTCGCCGGAAGTTGCAGAAATCGTCGGAAAAGTCGCCGGAAGTTGCAGAAATCGTCTGAAAATTCGCCGGAAGTTGCAGAGAACGCCGGAAAATTCGCTGGAAGTTGCAGAGATCGTCTGTTGCAGAGATCGTCTTTTGATTTTGGTAGATTTTGTAGATTTTGTAGTTGGCAGTTGGAGAGAGAGACAGCCGATATGGGTTTTGACCTTCTATTTTTGTAGATTTTGTAGTTTGCAGCTGGGGAGAGAGAGAGAGAGCAGATGGGTTTTGATCTACTAATTTTGGTAGATTTTGTAGTTGGCAGTTGAAGAGAGAGAGAGAGAGAGCTGATATGGGTTTTTGACTATTTTTGTAGATTTTGTAGTTGGAGAGAGAGAGAGAGAGAGACGGAGGGATCTGTTAGAAATGGGAATAGATAGATGGAGGAGGCTGAAATGATTTTGTGTTCTAACCCTACCAAAAAGGGTAAAGGGTAAGATAGTAATTTTATTATTATCAATTCTTTTCTTTTCTCTCCTTTTTGTTATCCAAACAACAATATTATCAATTCTTTTCTTTTCTCTCCTATCTATCCAAACATGAATATAAACATTTCCTTCCCTTTCTTTTCTTTTCTTTTCTCTCATAATCCTTTCTTTTCTTTTCTCTCCAGTGTATCCAAACGAAGCCTAAATCGTCCCTGTAACACGCGAAGGTCTTAAAGCGTTCTCAATTTCCTAGTTTGGAGGATCGTACAGTTTTACGGCAATGATGAGTTCATTAAAATCTAGTAAAACAAGATCATCGATTCACCGCATATCAAACTGTAACACAGAGGACGGAATGGTCCGGTGACTATAGAGGACGTAATGGTGAGAAGCAAGAACTGCCAGTGAACACGGACGTCGTGATGCGGAAGTATTTCAAGCATCCCAAAAATTTTCAAATTGATAAAAAAGGAGACAAAATATTCCATAAACATGCAATTGGTAAAAGCCAAAAAGGAACCCAGTACCATAAATTGGATTATTGGATCCGTCCGTGCGACCCTCTGCCTTGCCGTCGCCGCACCAGTAAGCCCCGTCGTCGGCGACCTGTTCCTCTCTCTCCGGGTCTCTTCTCAGTTCACGACCCGCTGATCTCTTAAACTATTGGCAGAAAAGTATGCATAAATTCCAGCCTTGGAGGTCCAGGCTACATCCAATTTCTTCACCGCCACCAAGGACAACGCCGACCTCATCTCGCCACCGACGCCGACAAGTCTCTGGTCCAGACTCTAGACACAATGCGTCCACCTTTTCTGGTCTCTTTTCTGCCAAAACTCACATAGCGAACTCCACAAATCCATGACCGCGCAGTTTCAGTAGCCACCGGCGAATGAGAATTCCAACTGAAGGTGGTTGCGTTGAAATTTCACCACCTATCATCACCTTTACCCGATCTTCTCGCCGGATTCGCACGCAATCTCACCGCTGAACAGTCTTCACCAACTAGCTCACACGCGATAACACGGTGAGAAAAAGCCGACCAATCAATACCCAACTCTCCCCAACGTGCGCTCACGTGCCATGTTTTTATGATTAATTTCTTCACAGAATTGTTCGTGATGGTAGCTCTGTTCTTGGATTTGTCTCCGATTTTGCTTCTTTGGTCTGTTTTGGATTGATTTGATCTTAATTGGTGCATCGGATTGACTATATGCGTGAATAAATGGGTTTGTTTTGTTGTTTAATCAACCAAAACATTCATCTCTCCCATGCAAGCTCTCTGGCATCGGCAACCGAATCATAAGACCCCAAAATTATAGCCGCAAGACCAATAAAAATCTTGTAGTAGAGGTGGTTGTTGCTGTGATGGAGTATACATTATCTCTTTGGTGTGCTGTCAATATCCCATTGGCTGTTGAGATTTTTTTGCCACGTCAGCAAATTAATATGACAATGCTTCAAACGGTGTTGTTTCATAGCAAGGGCAAAAATGTTATTTACTTTTTTCGGTGACCTGATGGAGTAATATGTAACAAAATCAAAGTCCAGGGGGTTTTTTGTAGTCCAGGAGGTTAGTTGCAAAACTCCCATAGTTCAGGGTGGTTTCTTGCATTTTACCCTTTTTTTTTTTCCTCGAAATAAATCTCACAAAACCGGCAAGAAGCCCAAGAGAAAAATAGTCTATGAAGACTAAAGAAACATTGTAAACCAAGCCCAGGCTCATGTAAGTTTTCTTGCCTTGATGTGTAGTTTATAAATTAGATAAATGCAAAAAAATCTCCCTGAACTATTAAGAAACTTGTAACTAATCCTAATAGTATTAAAATTGCAGAAAACCTCTTGAATTATACAAATTTGTTGCAGATCACTCTATCCGGCTACCGGTAGTTCAAAAATGAGCGCATGATTCTCACGTGACAGGCAAATTGATTTTTTTGGACAATAATGCTCTTCCATTTATGAAAATGCCAAATTGTCCTGTAACCACCACCAATATCACCGTCTGCAACCACCAACATAACCACCACGAAACTCAAATAATTCTTGCCCAATCACACCGGTAAACCAAATTAAACCCACCACTATCACTACCCACCTCCATCGGCATCTCAACGGTACACCATCAAACCCAATCGAACCAGTACACAAACCCATTGCCACCACCCCAATCCCGCCACCACCATAGCCCAACCTTCTCTCCATCAACTTCGAAACTCAAATGATTCATACTAAAATCACACACCGTGAAACACAATCGAAACCCCATAACTTCCGCCACCTCACACATATAATATATATACACAAATACACACGTATATCCTCTGGTGCCGTCGTCGATGTATCGTGCTTGATCGAAGAGGAATTGGACAGTTATACACACAGACATATATATACACGTGTGTATATGTATATATATTTATATATATATTGTGTATATATATATATATATATATATATATATATATATATATATTATACGCACCACCACCAACACCGGCGAGTACGTCGGCACAGGCATAGGAGACGACGATAGCGAAATCCCGGCGACGACGAGGATGACTTGGGTTTTGAGCTACCACCGAGTTACGACTCTCTCGGTAACTCGTCCCGAACCAGGCAGTGGAAATAACGCGTCGACTCCGCATCATCCATCGCCTTACCCCCTCCTCCTCCTTCGCCACCATAATCGTTGTCGCCGTCGCTAACTTGAGCCAGGACCTGCTCCAGATTGCTGCGGAGAGAGTTGGATGTGGCTTCATTCGTATGAGCTAAGTCCCTCCATAACTGGTTCTCTGTGTACAGAGTCCTTACTATTTCTTGAAGTACCAAATTCAACCTCGCGATTCTTTGAATCTATTCGTCTTTTTCCTTCATTTTCTTCACAATTCCTTTTCCAATTGACGAAATCAACAGCCTTGCATGATGCTAATGTCTCTCTTCAATCTCCAATTTGATTTTCTTAATGTGTTCAATCATTAAAAGAGTTAAAAATTAGAAACAAAAACCCAATTTTTATATATATATAAACACACATATATATAAACAATAGTGAAGAATTATAAGAGTAAATTAGACTTTTTATTTTTCTGGTTAAGTCAGTCATCGGAATGGACTGAAATGCAACAAATTCATAGTGCAGGGAGTTTTTTTTTTTTTTGGTAGTTCGGAGGGTTAGTTGCAATTTGCCAATAGTTTAGAAGTTTTTTTTTGCATTTAACTAGGGTGGCAATTCGTGTTGGCGTGTCGTGTTCGTGTCGACACGATTACGACACGGACACGATTAGGGTTGACACGAACACGACACGATTATTAATCGTGTCTAAAACTCTTGACACGAACACAACACGATTATTATACGTGTAACAGGACACGACACGCATAACCTGCTTAATAAATGGGTCAAGATTTGACACGACACGAAAAGACACATTTAAGTCATTTTCGACACGAATACGACATATTTTGTTAAATGGGTCATTTTTGACACGAAAACGACACGGTTATCTGACACGTTTAGTTAATCGAGTTAATCGTGTCATAATCGTGTTTATAGGGTTAAACATGAACACGACACGTATAGTTAGCGGGTCAATCCGTGTCGATACGATTATGACACGAACACAATTAACCCAAACCCTAACCCGCTTATCTCGTATCATGTTCGTGTCGTGTTAGCGTATCGTGTCAAATATTGCCACCCCTATATTTAACCCTAGATATTATTAAAACTTATTGCAAATCACGCGGCTCATTGTTGTTGCATTTACAAATATGGGGTTTTATATTTTCTTTGTTTTTTTTTCTTTTTTGAAAACCCGGACAATAGCTTCAATATGAGCAATTAGTTCTTGAAGATAGTAGAAACCTCTTACAAGGTGTAAGAGATCATGGCAGCTCTATCTCGAAGATTCAATCAATCCAAAACTCTATTTAATTGTATTTACAAGATAAACTATTGAGTGTAACACTTAATCTCCTTTTACAATACCGAAATACGTAAAAAAATAATTAATATATATCGAAACTCTTAAGATAAGAAAATCTTGAATATAAAATGAGATTCAACTTAACCAAACTTTGAGTAAAAGAGTGTGGTCTCACAAATGCATTCAAATCTCAATATACATGAATTAAGAATATTCATGTTTCAAGAATATAAATTTAAATAAATTCATTCATGTATCGCGCTAATCAAATAAATTCATTCAGAAAACCAAACTTCAAGTGTTAATGAATGTAAAAACGACTCCCTTGTAAGTGCAGGCACTAGGTTTTGATAATACAGACATATCCCATATAGAAGATGCCACAAATCTAGTTTACAGCAGCCAATCAAATTGCTATGAAATCCAATTAACCACACTTGGTAGAAGCATAAAAAATGGAAGATACAATGAGGTTGATTACTGAACAAGTTACTCTGTTGACCACCCAACGCAAATATACAGATTGCAAAGTCACAAACATGCTAATTTTCCATTGCTTTTAATAAAATTCCGAATTCATATACATCTACAACAACAACCAAACTTTATTTCCAACTACTTCAATGAAATAAGTATTACATTATATATAAATATGAGTATATGAATGTACTAATGTACACACATGCACACGTACAAATATGGAAAATACAGTACCTTTTCTGAACACAGTGAAATGAAGGAACCTAACGAGTTTTAGAACACCACAAAATTGCAACACCAGTCCTCAAGAAACTAAAGGAGGCAGAGGTGTATGCTTATTCCCCTTTCCACGAGGACAATGGGGGTGTGTTTGATTCCCTCCAAGTGAGTGACATGCCCCCAGTTCTATCACCTTTAACAGCATTAGCTGACGCAATACCTTCGAGTTCAGCCATGTCTTCCTTGGTTAGCTTCACGGATAAAGCACCAATGTTTTGGTTAAAGTTTTCAATCTTGGTGGTGCCAGGTATGGGGCACACATCATTTCCTTGGTGTAGGACCCAGGCCAACGCGAGCTGTGATGGGGTGCACCCCTTCCTTGCTGCCATGGCATTTACTTGCTCAAACAAGTTCTTATTATGCTTCACATTCTCAGGATGGAACTTGGGCAGAAGCTGCAAAGGATGAAACAGTAAATACTTCAATGTTTAAGAACCTACTTAACTCTTTAGGTATATTGTCCCATTCCTTAACATGTAGGCACCACATTAGCATGTCAAACCGGCATTACATGTACAAATTCAATACCAACACCGATCATGTAAATATGACTTCAAGTGAACATAGATATTAACATATTCTCAGTATACAAAATTTGGTTCCTGATCATGACTCAACAGTAAACTCTATTTTTTAAGTATTAAGAGATAAAGAGAAATTAGATGTTACATGGATAAAAACAACACGAAGAAAGGAATGCAATCCAATGTTTGTTAACAACAACACTAACCTTGCGTATGTCATTACTAGACAACTCCTCAATCATCTTGGGACCTGAAGACAAGAATCCTTGTCCCAGAGGACTGTATGCAACTATTCCAATGCCGAGTTCTCTGAACAATTATGGTGGACAAAATTATAACTTAAGTTGTCTATTATATCCTAATAGCCCTGCTAATGTTTTACGTACCTGCAAGTAGGAATAACTTCTTCCTCTGCATCTCTTGTCCATAACGACCACTCCAACTGTACAGCTGTTATCGGATGAACAGCATGTGCCCTTCTGATTGTTGAAGCAGAGGCCTCGGATAAACCTACATATTTGATTTTACCCTCTTCAACCAATTTCTTGAGTTCTCCCATCTGGCATAAAACATAAAACACGAGTACATGACATAAAATGATTAGGGAATGCTAGGTACTCGTTCAAAAAGGGATGCAAAAAAGGAAACAAATACGGAAACATTCAAAAACTGATTTAAATGATATATATAGGGGAAGAGACCTGGATACAAAGATTGTCATACCATACGAAATCATATCCTTAGTGTGATCATGCAACTTCAAAAAGAACACCACAATATACTTAACTACTTCCTTAATTACGAATTATATTCAGAAATAAAATGCAAGTCCATGGACAGGAGAAGATAACCAGAAAAAAATTGTGCTTACTAAAACAGGCAAGATTTGACAATGATTGAGAAAATCAAAAGAACAGTCCTCGGGTTATTTTCTCTACTCCCAAAGTGGTAGGTGTCCCCACAGGAAAAAACGGTGTGTGAGTTTCTTGCCAAGGAAAAAAAAAAATGTATGTCAACTCATGATTCAGGATTCACAGATCTTAGTCATGATAACTGATTATTACTTGCAGTGCAGATATATACAGTTTAACAAAACACAGATTAGTGAAATCTTTATACATGTGAACTACAAATAAATATTTCTATTTTAATTAGTTGGCCAATGTATTCCAATTTGAAGATCGAGCATGACCCTGAATTCACAGAGAGTAAAGTTCTTAATGGGGAAATATAAGACTGATAGATTAAAGATGATAAACTTCACTCTATTTGTTTCAAAATGATTTGATATATATTCTTCCCATTTCTTGTGTTTTGATCAACATATTTAAAACAATTGCATTCTTGGCTGACATTTATCAAACAGGGCGTCGACACATAGAAAACAGACAATTTGTTAACTTTCATTTCCATATCCTTAAGACTTTGTTTGGTACGGTGGGTTTGAAGGGGAAGGATAACATTAGTTATGAGGGAAAGGAAAGGGAAGGAAAAGGAAGGATAATTTTAAACCTCCATTGCGTTTGGTTGATTAATGAAGGAAAAGAAAGGGAAGGACAATAATTATGTTTGGGAAAAGAAAGGAAAAGAAATGAAAGGGAATTATTTTAACATATGGACTATTATACCCCTTTATAATTTCATGTACTTGCCAAAAAAAAATAATAATAATAAATAAATAAATAAATAAAAATTAGGGCAAATCATTTCAGCCTCCCTAATCCTCCATCTCTATTATATATATATATATATATATATATATATATATATATATATAAAGTCTTTAACTTGAGGCCATAAGAAAAGAAAAATAAAAAAATAGGGCAAAGCCTCCCCAATCTCGCTCCATCTCTGCAACTCCTTCTTAACACTGAACTTGGCCTCTCTCTCTCTCTCTACAAGAATCAGAAATTCAAAACCCATATATTTCCAGTTTATCTATCTGTTTGCAAGAATCAAAAGTTCAAACCCGTATCGATGTATCATTTCAGATTGTTCAGAAAATCCAAAACCCATATCCTTCAGTTTCCATGGCTGCTGTTCCAGTTCGGGTCGCCGTTCCAAGCTTCAATCACCGGCGGTCTCTCTCTCTCTCTCTCTGCAATCTTGAGGGTAAAATTGGCATCTGAAATCACTCATCAAGCCTCTCCTTCCCTTTCCCTTCATTTTTTCCCATTTTTAGAAGGTTAAGAAAGGCACAAGCTAACCCTCCAAACCCTTCTCTTCACTTCCCTTTCCTTCCAACAATTTTTGCCAAACACATATTTTTAATCCCCCTCCATCACCTTCCCTTCCCTTTCCTCCCTTTTCTACTCTACCAAACTTACCCTAAATTCTTATGTATAAATCAATAAGCATGAATGACAAAAATGAATTATGATCAATCTTTATAATAAATCATAATAACACAAAACAGAAATCGAACTTTCATATACGTACCGTGACTTCGATAGGGATGCTAGTGTCGACGCGATGCTGGTAATAGAGATCAATGCAATCGATGTCTAGCCGCTTCAAGCTGGCCTCGCAGGCGGCCCGGACATACGCCGGATCACCGCGAATTTTCGGCTTGCCGTCGGCGAAGCTGATACCAAACTTAGTCGCTAACTGAACTCTCTCTCTAAACCCTCCCTTGAGAGCCTGATCATAAATTAATTCCATAATCGATCAATTGGTTAAAATATTACTGTTAATTAAAGTAAATTGATTTGCAAATAAAAGTGATTATATCTGTATATGTATATTTATATGTATATAAAACCTTGCCGATTAGGATTTCATTGGTGAGGGGACCGTACAAGTCTGAGGTGTCGAAGAAGGTGATGCCGGAGTTAATGGCGTGGTGGATGAGTGGAATCATGTCGGAATCGGGCTTGGGAGAGCCGTAAAAGCAGGACATGCCCATGCAGCCTAGTCCCTGTGCTGATACTTCTAGACCTTGTGAACCTAGCTTCATCCTCCTCACTCCCGCCATCTCCTCTCCTGTATATTATACACACCTATCTCTCTCTCTCTATATATATATATGATATAGTGGCAACAGAGCAGGGTATTTACAGAGAGAGAAATAGTGTAATTGTGACTTTGATAATTTATGGGAAGATGATTGCCGGCTTACTTTGTAAGGGGAACTGGTCTTTAAAGGACCCAAAAGCTAACTGCTTACGGCATTGCTTCCGTTCCTCCAGTTCACAGTGACAGTACAGTGAACATTAAACGACCACGTGTACTTTATCTAAAACGCTAACTGCTTACGTCATTGCTTCCGTTCCTCCAGTTCACAGTGACAGTACAGTGAACATTAAACGACCACGTGTACTTTATCTAAATCCTAGTGTAATTTATTCATAATAAAAATTATTATTTAATATTTAGTTATTTTTATAATATCAATCTTACAGCTAGGTGGGTAGTTTTGGATCGTATCATCCCCGCCCTGCTGTTTAAAAGTCTTCTCCTTGTCTCTACCCAAAATTATTTAAATGGGGTAATGTCTCACCCATCTCCGCATGTTTAACTTTTTTCACGCCACCCACCCTGTCCCGTTTTATTTTCATAATTTCTTTAAAAAAATCCATAAAAAATGTTAATAAAAAATTTAACATAAAATTCAAAATTATAAAAATTCTATAATGGTAAAAAGTTTCATCAGACCAAAACTAATCAAGCTAATAATTACATTGTTCCAAACCAAAATACAAAAGTTTTAGGGTTAATTGTATATACAGAGGATACCAAAAACGAACTGGGCCACATATAGCCCCGATCAGTTGAGACCAGAGTTTGAAAGGATCATCAATCTGCCTGCATGACTGCCCAACAGGCCCAATGCTCATTTGGACCACCTCCAGTCCCAATAAGTGAGTCATCCTTCCAAAAGGACCCAAATAAAAGGCTCACAAAAGATTGACCAGTTCGGGGGTTTCTGAAAGAAGGTTATAGAACAATTGTACATTTCTATAAATAGTAACTAAAAAGAGGAAAACGTGGAGATAACGTGTGAAGTGTATGAAAATATCTTTCTAAATATAGAGAGAGTTTTTCTGGTACTTCACATACTAATAAAAACGATGGTAATTTAGTAATTTACGCACATAAACAAGGCGGGACAGGGTGGCAAAACCCAGGGTTTTACTACTAAACTCCATCTCCGTCCAAATAACTTAAATAGTCCACCAAAATCGGTTTAAGTACCCGCCCCTGACATATTGCCATCCTTACACGTGTTATATGTTACATGGAGTGCAATAATGTAACACCATATTAAATCGTTTATGCAAAGAAACTCCTTTCCAAAGTAAACTACACCAACAGGAAAATGTGCTTTTGTAGTGTGAGCATTTGAATGTTTCCTTACTTGGCCTTGTGTTAAAATAAAGATACAATGAGGTTGATCACTACCTATACTTATAAGTTGGCAGTTAGAAGCGCTAAAGCCTTGGGCCCTTACTTGCAAGTAGGAATAACTTCTACCTCTTAATCTCTTATCCATAACGATCACTCTAACTGTATAGCTGTTATAGGCTGATGAGAATGGTCTGGCCAACCATTTCTTCTGAATTAATCCCTCTTTAGCACGATGTCGGGTCAAAGGTCAATGATTGTTTCAATTTGTTAGGGATAGTGAGGGCACGGTATTGCGCGTTGTGTCGGTGTGACAGTGTGGATTCCGATGATTTGTTTTAGGTGACAGAGTGTGTTAGGTAGTACCAAGTATTTGGTATAGGGTTTACGTTATTATTATTATTATTATTATTATTTATAAATCCTGGAATGACACGTATATTATGTATTGACATAGGAAAGGACGGTAGCGTCTTTAGTTGACCTCTGGTTTGAGTAAGAACCCGGTTAGCGATTGAAACTCTCGAGTTCGGATCGTTACCCAAGGGCTTCCATCCCACCCATCATATTTATCAACTTGGAATTTTGGTCCTCAACACTTTCTTGAATAGTCATCTTCTTTACGAAGATTATTTACACCAACTAATCACACTGTTTTGTTGAAGGACCAATGGCTGACTGCTTACGTAATTGCTTCCATTCCATCTCGAGTCCGGATCCTCTGTGCGTTAATTTTGGGTGTTCTAATATCGAAAAATTATAACACCATAACCTATTTAGCACAGACATTGGACATGGACACTATATAAAAACATTATTGTAATGATATTTATATCACATATATTATTACTTCACTACTTGTCGTGATAGTATTTATATTATTTTCAAAATTACTAGTAGATTTGTGTTAAAAATATTTCGAAAGTGTGGCGAAGTGTTCGAAATAATAAAATTAATTTTTATTTATGTACACATATATAAAGTGTCATATACGTATTCAAAGAGTGTCAATGTCCGATGCATGCACGATATGGATACGGCTTTTTCGTAAAAGTATCCGTACTTTCTAAATCATAACATATAAAAAGTTGTGAACGCCATATTAATACAAAAATAATATAAAATTTCATGCAATAGAGTTATTTTGAGAATATAATCACCACGGTAACATATTACATCCGTATGCAACAGTGCAGCATTATATTAAATTAAGTGTCTAACAAATTTACATTCTATTGCCTTTCAAATTCGTTGTGTTGTATTATTAATTATGTAAAATATCAATTTAATTGCACTAGATGATCCTAGATTTGAGTTGGTACACTAAACCCTCGTCTTTCCTTTCTTCCTCTTAGACTAATTGTTATTTTTTATAAAAAATTATTTTTTATTTTGACTCTAGTTTATTTTATTTTATTGTTATTAAAACATGAGGCTCAAATAGCTATTCTTTCTAAAGATTGAAACTTGAAATGAGAAAATAAATAAATTATTATATTCCCAGACTACTCTTTTTTTTTTTTTTTTCTTCCTAGTTGGGACTCATATATACTGCCTCCACTGAGGTTCGAACTCCTAACCTCTCTTTGAAAGGTAAAAGCCTTTGTCACAGACCTGTTGATAATTCTCACACTACTCTATAACTTGAGTAATGATTTTTCTAATAATAAAAAAATAGAAACCAGCACTGTAGATCGATATGATAAAAGCTTATCCAATATACAGTTTTGTCGATGATTGCATGCATATATTCAAAATCAATTGCCAAAAAATGAAAAATAAAAATAAAACTCAATTCGATGATGAAATTGGAGCACATTCTCATTGTAGTTGATGAAAAGTTCTACTATAAATATGATTGCCGGCTTACTTTGTAAGGGGAACTGGTCTTTAAAGGACCCAAACGCTAACTGCTTACGTCAATGCTTCCGTTCCTCCAGTTCACAGTGACAGTACAGTGAACATTAAACGACCACTTGTACTTTATCTAAATCCTAGTGTAATTTATTCATAATAAAAATTATTATTTAATATTTAGTTATTTTTATAATATCAGTCTTACATTAAAGCCTAAAGCGTTTAGCAATGGCTAGGTGGCCAGTTTTGGATCGTATCATCCCCGCCCTGCTGTTTAAAAGTCTTCTCCTTGTCTCTACCCAAAATTATTTAAATGGGGGTAATGTCTCACCCGTCTTCGTATGTTTAACTTGTTTCACGCCACCCGTCCAGTGCAGTTTTATTTTCATAATTTCTTAAAAAAAATCCATAAAAAATTTAACATAAAATTCAAAATTATAAAAATTCTATAATGGTAAAAAGTTTCATCAGACCAAAACTAATCAAGCTAATAATTACATTGATCCAAACCAAAATACAAAAGTTTTAGGGTTAACTGTATATACAGAGGATACCAAAAACGAACTGGGCCACATATGGCCACGATCAGTTGAGACCAGAGCTTGAAAGGATCATCAATCTGCCTGCATGACGGCCCAACAGGCCCAATGCTCATTTGGACCACCTCCAGTCCCAATAAGTGAGTCATTCTTCCAAAAGGACCCAAATAAAAAGCTCACAAAAGATTGACCAGTTCGGGGGTTTCTGAAAGAAGGTTATAAAACAATTGTACATTTCTATAAATAGTAACTAAAAGGAGGAAAAAGTGGAGATATTGTGTGAAGTGTATGAAAATATCTTTCTGAATATAGAGAGAGTCTTTTGGTACTTCATATACTAATAAAAATGATGGTAATTTAGTAATTTACACACATAAACAAGGCAGGACAGGGTGGCAAAACCCAGGGTTTTACTACTAAACTCCATCTCCGTCCAAATAACTTAAATAGTCCACCAAAATCGGTTTAAGTACCCGCCCCGGACATATTGCCATCCTTACCCGTGTTATATGTTACATGGAGTGCAATAATGCAACACCATATTAAATCGTTTATGCAAAGAAACTCCTTTCCAAAGTAAACTACACCAACAGGAAAATGTGCTTTTGTAGTGTGAGCATTTGAATGTTTCCTTACTTGGCCTTGTGTTAAAATAAAGATACAATGAGGTTGATCACTACCTATACTTATAAGTTGGCAGTTAGAAGCACTAATGCCTTGAGCCCTTACCTGCAAGTAGGAATAACTTCTACCTCTTAATCTCTTATCCATAACGATCACTCTAACTATATAGCTGTTATAGGCTGATGAGAATGGTCTGGCCAACCATTTCTTCTGAATTAGTCCCTCTTTAGCACGATGTCGGGCCCAAGGTCAATGATTGTTTCAATTTGTTAGGGATAGTGAGGGCACGGTATTGCGCGTTGTGTCGGTGTGACAGTGTGGATTCCGATGATTTGTTTTAGGTGACAGAGTGTGTTAGGTAGTACCAAGTGTCTGGTATAGGGTTTACGTTATTATTATTATTTATAAATCCTGAGATGACACGTATATTATGTATTGACATAGGAAAGGACGGTAGCGTCTTTAGTTGACCTCTGGTTTGAGTAAGGACCCGGTTAGCGATTGGAACTCTCGGGTTCAGATCGTTACCCAAGGGCTTCCATCCCACCCATCATATTTATCAACTTGGAATTTTGGTCCTCAGCACTTTCTTGAATAGTCATCATCTTTACGAAGATTATTTACACCAACTAATCACACTGTTTTGTTGAAGGACCAATGGCTGACTGCTTACGTAATTGCTTCCATTCCATCTCGAGTCCGGATCCTCTCTGCGTTAATTTTGGGTGTTCTAATATCGAAAAATTATAACACCATAACCTATTTAGCACGGACGTCGGACATGGACACTATATAAAAACATTATTGTAATGATATTTATATCACATATATTATTACTTCACTACTTGTCGTGATAGTATTTATATTATTTTTAAAATTACTGGTAGATTTGTGTTAAAAATGTTTCGAAAGTGTGGCGAAGTTTTCGAAATAATAAAATTAATTTCTATTTATGTACACATATATAAAGTGTCATACACGTATTCAAAGAGTGTCAATGTCCGATGCATGCACGATATGGATACGGCTTTTTCGTAAAAGTATCCATACTTTCTAAATCATAACATATAAAAAGTTGTGAACGCTGTATTAATACAAAAATAATATAAAATTTCATGCAATAGAGTTATTTTGAGAATATAATCACCACGGTAACATATTACATCCGTATGCAACATGCAGCATTATATTAAATTAAGTGTCTAACAAATTTACATTCTATTGCCTTTCAAATTCGTTGTGTTGTATTATTAATTATGTAAAATATCAATTTAATTGCACTAGATGATCCTAGATTCGAGTTGGTACACTAAACCCTCGTCCTTCCTTTCTTCCTCTTAGACTAATTGTTATTTTTTATAAAAAATTATTTTTTATTTTGACTCTAGTGGGTTTATTTTATTTTATTGTTATTAAAACATGAGGCTCAAATAGCTATTCTTTCTAAAGATTGAAACTTGAAATGAGAAGATAAATAAATTATTATATTATATTCCCAGACTACTCTTTTCTTTTTTTAGTTGGGACTCACATACACTGTCTCCTGAGGTTCGAACTCCTGACCTCTCTTTGAAAAGTAAGAACCTTATACCGCTAAGCCACAGACCTATTGATAATTCTCACACTACTCTATAACTTGAGTAATGATTTTTCTAATAATTGAAAAATAGAAACCAGCACTGTAGATCGATATGATAAAAGCTTATCCAATATACAGTTTTGTCGATGATTGCATGCATATATTCAAAATCAATTGCCAAAAAAATGAAAAATAAAAATAAAACTCAATTCGATGATGAAATTGGAGCACATTCTCATTGTCGTTGATGAAAAGTTCTACTATAAATATCTTGTGGTAGTCCAATCTCCATGTCAATTGGTATTGACTTTCTCAAAAAAAATAAAAATAAATAAATAAATAAATTAATAGTAATAATTCTTTTCAACAAACAAAATGACATATTCCTATTTTATAAGGCATATGACAGGAACACAACACACACACACACACACACACACACACACACACACATTATTGGCAATGAGCTCAGTTAGTGAAACCATACAACTTGCTGGGCAAGAGCAAAAGACACAATAGGGCTTCAGAATAAGCCCAAACAAGTTAGATGTCTGAGAATATTGTTTAGGCTGAAACGAATGACAAAACTACCCTTATTCAAGCTCATTTTATTCTTTATAATTAATTTTACAAAATTAAATTAAGGGTGTTTATTGAATTTGCAAAAGCATTTTCACCGAAACAATCCGACCACGTGTCAATCTGTTATTAACTTCCGAATTCTAATATTTGTGTGTTAATGTGTCAATAACTTTGGAATTCCAATATTCGATGCCAAATATTCGTGTGCCAGAAAGATGTAATGTACAACTTTTGATAAATTGATGGTGTTTGTTGCCAAAAAAAAAATAGTAGAAGGGATTATTTTACAAGTTTTTGATAGTACACTGGGATTTAATGCAATTTGTCCAAAGTAAAATTAATTAGCAAAGCACATTCTTCCTCATGGAAGCAGTTAGGTTAAGTTCACCCTCATGGTGTAAGCATTTGAATGTTCACAAACAATGCTCATTTATTGGCATTTGATTCTGCCGTCATTACATAGCTTTTACTGCAATATGCATACATACGTTTATATATAAATACATGTGCGCGCAGACTGTGCAGACAGTCCACACACAAACACATATACTTGTACATTCTGTTTATTCTGATCTTGAACACAAAGCCAGGCACTTGTGGAAAATACACCTTTTTCTGAACAACATAGAGATGCAGGAACCCAACAAGTTCTAAAACACTACAAAATGACAACACAACCGGTCCTCAAGGAACTAAAGGAGGCAGAGGTGTGTGTTTATTCACCTTTTCACGGGAACAATGGGGGTGTGTTTAATCGCCTTTCCACGATGACAGTGGGGGAGTGTTTGATTCCCTCCAAGTGAGTGACATGCCCCCGAATCTATCACCTTTAACAGCATCAGCTGAAGCAATGTCTTCAAGTTCGGCCATTTCTTCTTTCGTTAGCTTCACGGATAAAGCACCAATGTTTTGGTTTAAGTTTTCAATCTTGGTGGTGCCTGGTATGGGGCACACATCATTTCCTTGGTGATGGACCCAGGCCAATGCGAGCTGTGATGGTGTGCATCCCTTCCTTGCTGCCATAGCATTTACTCGCTCAAACAAGTTCTTGTTATGCTCCACATTCTCAGGGTAGAACTTCGGCAGAAGCTGCAAAAGGTGATATATATACTTCAGTACTGTGACAGAACTGCAGACACACAGCATCAAAAGGACCAAATTTAGGCATATTGTCCAACTCCTTAAAATGCAGGCACCACGTAAGCATGTCACGCCTTCATACACCACTCCTTGGAGGCTTCAAGGAGGTTGTGGTTTGATGGATCATGCCAAAGAAGGTATATCAAAGCCACTACTTGTCATCCTATGTCCCCTTTACCCGGTTGGTGGTTACCACTATCTACCAAAATCAAAACTGACGAGCGACCGGAAAGAGTACAGGACACATGTTTCACTTTGAGAGTGACACTGCATTTGACATTGTGTCCTTATCATCTTAGCTATCCTTCACATTCTACTTAAGCTACACATGAGGTCATATGAAAAGATACTGCTCCATTTATGAGCAAGGGGTCCTCTCACCATCAACCCTAGACAGGGCACTGCTCTCTCAGTCACCACTTTCCTCTCGTCCCTCTCCTCCTATAACCACTCACCCCAAGTTCTACCGGCAAGAAGCTTACAAATTCGATACCCACACCTAGCATGTAAATATTATTACAAGTGGACATAGATTAACATATTCTCAGTAAGCAAATTTTGTTTCCTGATCATGATTCAACATTAAGCTCTGTATATATATATATATACATACAGACATATATATTAAGCAAATTAAAATATATATATATATTTTAATTTTATGCTTACTGCTATATAGTTCATTCAAAACTCAAAATGTTATATGCATTCACCTTACGGATGTCATCATTTGACAACTTTTCAACCAGCTTGGGACCTGAAGACAAGAATCCTTGTCCTAGAGGACTGTATGCAACAATCCCAATGCCGAGCTCTCTGAAAAATTATGGTGGACGAAATTAGAACTTAAAATTGTCTTTTACTTCCTAACTTATAAGTTAGCAATTAGCACCACTTATGCCTTACCTGCAAGTAGGAATAACTTCTTCCTCTGAATCTCTTGTCCATAACGACCACTCCAACTGTACAGCTGTTATCGGATGAACAGCATGCGCCCTTCTGATTGTTGAAGCAGAGGCCTCAGATAAACCTATGTATTTGATTTTACCCTCTTCAACCAGTTTCTTGAGTTCTCCCATCTGGCATAAGCATGTACATGACATAAAATGGATTAGGGAACGCTAGACACTCGTTAAAAAAGGAGATGCAAACAAGGAAACAAATACGGAAACATTCAAAACTAATATATATGATAGGGTGAGAGATGCGGACACAAGATGGTCAAACCATACGACAGCATATTGATCATGCAACTCTGTCAAATCATACAACAGCATATTGATCATGCAACTTTAAAAAGAACATCACAATATACTTAACTGCTTCCTTGGGGTTGGGGCAGGGGTAGATAGCCTACTATTACATTCAAAAGTAAAAGGCAAGTCGTTTGACATAAGAGAAGAAAACCAGAAAATATTTTGCTTACTAGAAGAGGCTGGATTTGACACTAATGAACTTTAAAAAATGAATTTCAACTTAGAAATCAGTGATCTTAGTCATGACACCTCATTAATCATGCCTGTTCCTATTTTAAAGTTTCAGGGTACAGATATATGTCAGTTAATAAAACGATTACTAAAATCTTTATACATGTGAAGAGCAAGACCCTAAGTATCATTCTATTCTGCCTCCACATACAACAAAATGTAAAAATGCATTAAATGGTATATACGTATGATGCATTAATCACCAAAAAAGTAAGAGTAAAATTCGAATCACCAGAAAAGAAACTACCAAAACAAGCTACACGATAGTAAATGAAACAACCAACAAATGCAACTGTAAATGAGGTAGAATTGAATGAAAGCTGCATTATGGAACAACTCTGGTCAAATTGAATGTGGAGAACTACATAATATCATTGGTAACAACTTACACAAGCCTGGTGACTAACTAGACCATTTAAAGCCTTCTAAGTAATTTACCCAAATATAAATTTTTTTTTTTTTAAAAGCCCCCTTCTAGTATGGAATTACTCATCAAAGAATAACTTAGATATTTAACAGTGCTTAACCAGGCAGCAATATGAAAAAATTGAAAGGACAGCTGATAGTAAATAATTTACAATTCTGTATATACAGAAACATACTAGACTCAATACACTGAGATATAAGTAGCATTTAAACTTATGTTACCTCAATTCCCCACCTAATAAAAATTTATGCCAAGTTTGGTTCGAGAGAAATGAAAGAGAAAACAGAAAAGAAATGGAGGGAAAGGTCATGTTGCGTTTGGTATAAAATTTTGGAAAGAGATAGAATGGAAATGGAAGGATTTGTAAGGGTTCACTAAACATTTTTGGCTGACATTTATCAAGCAGTGTGTGGGACACTTGTTAGAAAACAGGCAATTTGTTGATTTTTATTTGCATATTCTCAAATTCATATATTAAAGAAATGGAATATGATCAATTTTTATCATTAAATTACAATGATACAAAACAGAGAGCCAATAGAAAAGGAGTAACGTACAGTGACTTCGATAGGGACGCCAGTGTCAACGCGATGCTGGTAATAGAGATCAATGCAATCGATGTCGAGCCGCTTCAAGCTGCCCTCGCAGCAGGCCCGGACATACGCCGGATCTCCGCGGCCATGCACCTTGCCGTCGGAAAAGATGCTACCGAACTTGGTTCCCAATTCAACCCTCTCTCTTAACCCTCCCTTGAGAGCCTGATCATAAATTAATTCCATAATCGATCAATTGATTAAAATATTAGTGTTAATTAAAGTAAATTGATCTGCAAATCAAAGTGATTATATCCGTATGTGTATATTTATATGTATACAAAACCTTGGCGATTAGGATTTCATTGGTGAGGGGACCGTAGGCGTCGGAGGTGTCGAAGAAGGTGATGCCGGAGTTAATGGCGTGGTGGATGAGTGGAATCATGTCGGAATCGGGTTTGGGAGAGCCGTAAAAGCAGGACATGCCCATGCAGCCTAGTCCCTGTGATGATACTTCCAGACCTTGTGAACCTAGCTTCATCCTCCTCACTCCCGCCATCTCCTCTCCTGTATCTTATACACCTCTCTCTCTCTCTCTCTCTCTCTCTCTACGATATAGTGGCAACAGTGTAACTGTGACTTTGATGGGAAGATGACTGGCGGCTTACTTTGTAGAAGGGAAAGTGGTCCTTAAAAGGACCTAAACGTTGCCAAAAAAAAAAAACAAAAATAAAAGGACCTAAACGCTAACTGCTTACGTCATTGCTTCCGTTCCCTCCCATTTACATTTTACAGTGACGGTAGAGTTTAAATGGATGAACAAATATGTCAGAAGATACCATGCAGAAATAATTATAAGGGTAAATTACACAAATTACAAACAATAGATAGTTGAGAATTTATTATTTTGACTTTTACTAAATCTGTTGGAGCTGTCCAAAAGTAACTTGTGAGTAAGACTGCTAAAGAACCAAATTGTTTACTAATAGTTCGAGTTCAACTCGTTAAAAGTTTGATTCATTCGTTTAGTAAACAAGCTGAGTCCAAGTTTAACTTTCAGGCTCGTTTAATTAAATGAGCCAAACTTGAGCAACGGTGAGCTCGGCTCGCCAAGCTCGTGGATGCGCCCGTTTAGTTATCAGACTTATATTTCAAATTTTGTTACTAATGCTTAGCCCAAACACTTGAGTTTATATGGGTCCATGTAGTTGTTTGGTTATATAAACTTAAACTATATTCATTCCTGAAGCCCACGAGCTAACAAGCCCAATAACCCATGTTATCACAATTGTGGATTATTTACACTTATGCTGTACATGTTATTAACTATAACAAAATAATAGAAACATATGAAGTACGGGTACGGATACGAACACGGGATATCGGTACAACACGATACAGATACAGTAATATGATAAATTTTTTAAAAAATAAGACACGAACATGACAAGAATACATCAATAAAATAATAATATATATTTATTATATATACATTTTTATTTTTATTTAAATTAAGCTAACCAAATAATCCCTACTACTCTTAAAAAACATAAAAATCATAACTTCAAATTTTATTAAAATATAAGTTTATATCCAACAGTTGAATAAACTATCTTTATAACCAAATATATATGCTTTATAATTTATTTGTTTTTTTTTTTAACACACCTTTTAAGATAAGGTAACAATCTTGATCCTATATATCCCATTTTTCTCTCCACACTTGCTTCACTTATCTCTTCATCATCTACTCAGCCTCTCTCCCTTTCTCTGCCATTCAGTCAAGCCAAGAGTTCCCTAGAGTTCTGATGAAGCTTTCGATGGAAAATAAAAGGTTGTTCCTCTTTTTCGCCGGTAAAGCCCAACATTCACTGAAGATCTTGCTCTTTGTTCCTTTATTTTTTCCCCTGTGGTTGCTCTAGAATTCCCTTAATCTCTTCATCTTTTTAGATTTCTAAATCAGTCATCTGTGAATGAATACACAAAGACACACACACACACACACCTTCATTTTCCCTTTTTCTTTTCAAAAAAAAAAAAAATCGAACAGGTGTGTCTCCGATGTGTCCTCAGCGTGTCGGCGACATGTCTGGCGTATCCTTTGCCGTGTCTGACCTTATAAAAAATAATAAAAAATTGGACACGTGTTCGACACGTGTCCTAGCCTCGAACACGTATCCGACACTGGCATAACACCCCTTATGGGCGTGTTCGTGCTTCATAGATAGAAACCCTAACATATTCATGTCGGCAACCATCATACTCAATCCATCCATCACACATTTATGTCAGCAGCTACTCTACCGGCGACTCATGCGACAATCTTACCCAACAATAACTACTACAAGGTTATTACTCTCCGTCTCTCAACCATGTTTTCACTCTCTCTTGCCAGCCATTTTTTTTATATACCAGAATCAGATAGGGAAAAGGGTTGAACTGACCCTTGTTACTATAAAAGAAAGGGATCGAAGATTTGAGAATTTGCCAAGATTTCGATTATTGAGGATTTGCCAAGATTTCTGGAATGCGAGTTTGAGTCGAGTCGAGGCCAAGCTCATTCAAATATTGGTGAGCGGAGCTCGAGCTTGGCTAAGTTGAGCTCGCCCGAGCCCGAGCAGCCTTCTGAACGAGCTCACTCTCATAATTTCTCCTTATTTTTTACTTTTTTTTTCCTCAAATACAATTATATAACTATTAAAAAAATTCATAAAAAATGTTAATAAATAATTTAACATAAAATTCAAAATTACAAACATTCCATAATGGTAAAAGTACATCAGACCAAAACTAAACAAGTCAATAATTACATTGTTACAAATCAAAATACAAAAGTTTTAGTGTTATGGTAATTTAGTAATTTACGCACCTAAACGAGGCGGGAGAAAGTGGCCAAACCCAGGGTTTTACTACTATAACTCCATCCCCGTCCAAATAACTTAAATGGTGTACCAAAATCGGTTTAAGAGGGGCAAGGGTGTACCCGCCACCGTGCGACAAATTGTCATCCCTAAACCTGTTACATCAAATGCAATAATGCAACACCATATTAAATCGATTATGCAAAGAAACGCTTTTTCAAAGTAAACTACACCAATAGGAAACTGTGCTTTTGTAGTGTGAGCATTTGAATGTTTCCTTACTTGGCCTTGTTTTTAAAATGGAGATACAATGAGGTTGATTACTGAACAAGTTGCTATGTTTTTTTTTTTTTTTTTTTTCCTCTGGATAAGTGAAAGTTGCTCTTTTGCTTCCCCACGCAAATAAACAGATTGCAAATTCACAAACAATGCTCTTAATTGGCATTTGATTATGAAGTCATTCCACAGCTTTTACTACAATACATTATATACATACACACACAAACACATGTACTTGTATATTCTCTTTATTCTGTTCTTGAACACAAGCCTGGAACTTGTTGAAAATACAATTTTTTTTCTGAAACAACAAGAGATGCAGAAACACAAGTTGTTTTAAAAAACACTACAAAAAAACACCAAAATTGGTCATCAAGAAACTAAAGGAGGCAGAGGGGTGTGTTTATTCACCTTTTCACTACAAAATCACAACAACATTGGTCCTAAATGAACTAAAGGAGGCAGAGGGGTGGGTTTAATTGCATTTCCATGAGGACAATGGAGGGGTGTTCGATTCCCTCCAAGTGAGTGACATGCCCCCGAATCTATCACCTTTAACAACATCAGCTGAAGCAATGGCTTCAAGTTCGGCCATTTCTTCTTTCGTTAGCTTCACGGATAAAGCACCAACGTTTGGGTTTAAGTTTTCAATCTTGGTGGTGCCGGGAATGGGGCACACATCATTTCCTCGGTGATGGACCCAGGCTAATGTGAGCTGTGATGGTGTGCATCCCTTCTTTGCTGCCATAGTATTTACTCGCTCAAACAAGTTCTTGTTATGCTCCACATTCTCAGGGTAGAACTTCGGCAGAAGCTGCAAAAGATATATATATACTTCAGTGTGAAATAACTGCACACACACAACATCAAAAGGACCAAATTTAGGTATATTGTCCAACTCCTTAAAATACAGGCACCATATAAGCATGTCGCACCTTTATACACCATTCCTTGGAGGCTTCAAGGAGGTTGTGGTTTGATGGATCATGCCAAAGAAGGTATATCAAAGCCACTACTTGTTGTCCTATGTCCCTTTTACCCGATTGGTGGTTACCACTAGCTACCAAAATCAAAACTGAGGACCTACCGAAAAGATATTACAGGACACATGTTTCACTTTGAGAGTGACATTACATTTGACATTGTGTCCTTATCATTTTAGCTATCCTTCACATTCTACTTAAGCCACACACGAGGTCTTATCAGAAGATACTGCTCCATTTATGAGCAAGGGGTCCTCTCACCATCAACCCTAGACAGGGCACTGCTCTCTCAGTCACCACTTTCCCTCTCGTTCCTCTCCTCCTATACCCACTCACCCCAAGTTCTAGCGGCATGAAGCTTACAAATTCAATACCCACACCTATCATGTAAATATTATTACAAGTGGACATAGATTAACATGGATTATAACCACGGGAAGAAAGCAAAACAATCCAGTGTTTTTGGAATGTAAATTACTAAGTGAAGACATTAAGTGAGGATAAAGAAAATTTTGCAAGCTTACTATGGAGACCATTAACAAACAACAAGAGGTTAAAAGGAAAATTCTGCACATCCATAATACTACAGTGATGTTGTTATATATATATTAATTTTATGCGCACTGCTATAGTTCATTCAAAAGTCAAAATGTTATATGCATTCACCTTGCGGAAGTCATCATCTGACAACTTCTCAACCAGCTTGGGACCTGAAGACAGAAATCCTTGTCTTAGAGGACTATATGCAACAATCCCAATCCCGAGTTCTCTGAAAAATTATGGTAAACAAAATTAGAACATAAAATTGTTTGTTACTTCCCAACTTATAAGTTAACAACTAGCACCGCTAACGCCTTACCTGCAAATAGGAATAACTTCTTCCTCTGAATCTCTTGTCCATAATGACCGCTCCAACTGCACAGCTGTTATCGGATGAACAGCATGTGCCCTTCTGATTGTTGAAGTAGAGGCCTCAGATAAACCTATGTATTTTATTTTACCCTCTTCAACCAGTTTCTTGAGTTCTCCCATCTGGCATAAACATGAGTATATGACATAAAATGGATTAGGGAACGCTAGATAATCGTTCAAAAATGAGACACAAATTAAAAAATAAATGGCAAGTTGATTAACATAAGAGAATAAAACCAGAAAATATTATGCTTACTAGAACAGGTTGGATTTGACACTAACGAACTTAAAAAATGAATTTCAACTTAGAAATCACTGATCTTAGTTATGACACCTCATTAATCATGCCTCTTCCTATTTCAAAAGTTAATAAAACGATTGAGAGTCATCAACATCTTTTTTTTTTTAACATCTTTTTTTTAAGTGCAAATTTGCCTCTGAAATTTGGATGTTCTTCCAACACCTGTGTGGGATCTATGTTGGGGACTTTAATTTATATGACATCACCAACTGGAGTGTGTCCATGTGGAAGGATGGAACGAAGGCGCCGGAAGCTTTTGTGTATAAGTTTTGCCTCACAACTTGTGTGTACTTCATCTGGAGTGAGAGGAATAGAAGAAATGTCATGAATCAAAGGGCCTCCACCGCTTCGGTTA